ACTGCATGACTGATTAAACAGGAGTAAACAAAAAGAGAGTTGATGCCACCTAATAAATTAAACATGATGTGAAAGCTGACAGAAAATTGAGCAGGGAGGAGAATTGCAGTACGGTCACCGCTTGTCCTGAATCTCTACACCAAACCCAATCCATCATGACTGAGACTCGCTGACAATGCAGAGGGAAGCAACGTCATCATGAACAGGGGCACGTCAGTGCACCCACATAAGCTTTGAGAACAAGTATCAGCACAAACAGCTTCCTCTCCTCACCAGGTTTGGAGCTGACAACAGCCTCTGACATGGCTGTTTGGCAGGTTAGAAAGAGCATTGATCAGTGACAGTCTACGGGCTGCATTACGGCGACTTTATTCAGGAAGTACAAAACAAAACAAGTTTTACTGACCTTTATTCAGTCAAAGCAAGGTGCACCAAAGTTTGGATCAAACAAAAAAGTCCCCTATGTTCCCTCCAAAGAAACGTAACCCAAGAGCATGATGGTATCACTACTCTTTAACAGGGTGGCTATAGTATCATTTTCTGCTGTGTTATGGTGTTTAATGTGGTGTTTTTGTGTTGAATGTATATTTTAAAACTATGGCAGAAGACAAGTTTGGCTTCTTTGACTCTATGTTTTAAATGTTGTCTTAGAAGAAGTTCGAAATTCAAGTTTTCTATGGGAGAAAATACTTCAGCCTTGCCACTTATGCCCCTATAAGAATATAGAAGAGTAAACATTTGAGACTTATACAGCTAAATCAGTGATGCTGTTGGCAGTCTTATCACATAGGGGTGTAAATCACACCCATCCTGGCGATTCAATTCAGTATCAATTTCCTGACCCAATGATTTGATTATTTTCGATACTCAAGAATACAACAAAATACGGTTTGATTAATTGGTTATTTTTCATTTTACCTTACAGGCTAGACAATGTTTCAATTTTGAAATAAATCAAAGAAAGCTGTAATATCCTTATGCATTTTTTTTTTTTTAGAAACAACATCAACACGCAAGTGTGTGTACAAGCAGAAAGAGGGTAGTGGCTAAAGGAAGCAAGGTAGGAGGGCAAAACAGGTTAAGTGCCCCCGCAGCACTGGAATTAAAATAACGTCCAGGAGCAAATGGATAAAAATAGACCAGAGGAGAAAAAAAACATGAATCCATACTCTTGTGGACGTGTCGATGCATCGGATCATCGGCTGTTGGATTGATGCAAAACTATTTTTATTTCCACCTCTATTATCACACTCACCTGACTAGTTTTGGTCTTGATTTTCAAATAGTTTTCAAAGACTGTCCAGCTTTAGGAATGTGCTTGTTGATAGAATCTCAAAGTTACTGCTCTATTACATGCTGCATAATTGATCGTATTAATGTTTTTTTCTTCTGCTGACCATTACCTTTATAAAAAGTGTATAAAGCTAATTTTTTCCAACTTCTGAACAAATTTGCCCCCAGTGGGTATGTATACATGTAGCTAAATTAAGTTTTAGCTAAATTTAGTTTAGCATTAGCTAAATAAAGCTTTAAATACACTGAACTCAGGCACTTTAAATTTCACTATTAAGGTTTGTGTACTGGCATCAAAGACTGTTCGACACTATAATGAGGCTATGTTGATCCTTTATAACCTCTCTAAATGATTGCTTAGCTAGAGGACGCAAAAAGCTTCAAAATCAAAACATCAAAAATCCAACCAGGGCAGCTTGCCTAATTTTGTTTGTTTTAATTGTATTAGCTACAACCACATCTTTCCTCTTTCCTTTTTTGCCACTTCTCTAATTAAGCCCACACCTATTTATTTTGATCTTTCCTCCATGTTGGTAGGCGACATCGGGAGGGCCAATTAAACTGTGTGTACCCGCCTAAATTTCAGCATGGCTGGCAATCTATGCTGAAATATGCTGATGAGAACCCTGTGTATATCATTTCAAATGTACAAGATATACACTATATTGCCAAAAGTATTTGCTCACCTGCCTTGACTCACATATGAGCTTAAAGGAATAGTACACCCAAAACATGATTAGCCTTCATTTTCTACTCACCTCCATGCTGAACAACACTCTGGAGTACTTTTTTGATATCTCAAATGCATCTGGAGATCTGGGAGGCTTCTTGCTGTCTGCTGACATTCAAATAATGGAGGTCCATGGCGCCCGAGACAGAAAGGTCCATAAAAGTCCACAAAAACGTGTCAATATTCCTCCATACTGCTCGTCCAATGTAATCCAAGTGTCCTGAGTGGGTAGCATCCAGAATTTACTCGAAACGAAGTCATTTAGAATGTTTTTAGAGCATAAACAGTAGTGTATAGGATTTCCTAATAGCGCCCCCATGCGCGCTCACGATTCTACGGAAGCCGGCAGACCAAACCGGAAGAAAGTGCGCATTCAGCGTCTGGTCTGCCGATAATGCAAGCGTAGAAGAAGAAATGTGCTGTTTACCTGTGCAAAGAAAGAAACAACGAAAGAAAAATGTCTGAGGACTTCAGTGTTGAGGAAGAGCATGAGTTCTTTGCCGAGCTGAATGCGCTGGTTTGGTCTGCCGGCTTCCGTAGAATCGTGAGCGCGCATGGGGGCGCTATTAGGAAATCCTATACACTACTGTTTATGCTCTAAAAACATTCTAAATGACTTCGTTTCGAGTAAATTCTGGATGCTACCCACTCAGGACACTTGGATTACATTGGACGAGCAGTATGGAGGAATATTGACACGTTTTTGTGGACTTTTATGGACCTTTCTGTCTCGGGCGCCATGGACCTCCATTATTTGAATGTCAGCAGACAGCAAGAAGCCTCCCAGATCTCCAGATGCATTTGAGATATCAAAAAAGTACTCCAGAGTGTTGTTCAGCATGGAGGTGAGTAGAAAATGAAGGCTAATCATGTTTTGGGTGTACTATTCCTTTAAGTGACATCCCGTTCCTAATCCATAGGGTTCAATATGACGTCGGTCCACCCTTTGCAGCTAGAACAGCTTCAACTCTTCTGGGAAGGCTGTCCACAAGGTTTAGGAGTGTGTTTATGGGAATTTTTGACCATTCTTCCAGAAGCGCATTTGTGAGGTCGCACACTGATGTTGGACGAGAAGGCCTGGCTCTCAGTCTCCGCTCTAATTCATCCCAAAGGTGTTCTATCGGGTTGAGGTCAGGACTCTGTGCAGGCCAGTCAAGTTCATCCACACCAGACTCTGTCATCCATGTCTTTATGGACCTTGCTTTGTGCACTGGTGCACAGTCATGTTGGAAGAGGAAGGGGCCAGCTCCAAACTGTTCCCACAAAGTTGGGAGCATGGAATTGTCCAAAATGTCTTGGTATGCTGAAGCATTCAGAGTTCCTTTCACTGGAACTAAGGGGCCAAGCCCAGCTCCTGAAAAACAACCCCACACCATAATCCCCCCTCCACCAAACTTTACACTTGGCACAATGCAGTCAGACAAGTACCGTTCTCCTGGCAACCGCCAAACCCAGACCCGTCCATCAGATTGCCAGATGGAGAAGCGCGATTCGTCACTCCAGAGAACGCGTCTCCACTGCTCTAGAGTCCAGTGGCGGCGTGCTTTACACCACCGCATCCGACGCTTTGCATTGCACTTGGTGATGTATGGCTTGGATGCAGCTGCTCGACCATGGAAACCCATTCCATGAAGCTCTCTGCGCACTGTTCTTGAGCTAATCTGAAGGCCACATGAAGTTTGGAGGTCTGTAGTGATTGACTCTGCAGAAAGTTGGCGACCTCTTCGCACTATGCGCGTCAGCATCCGCTGACCCCGCTCCGTCAGTTTACGTGGCCTACCACTTCGTGGCTGAGTTGCTGTCGTTCCCAAACACTTCCATTTTCTTATAATACAGCTGACAGTTGACTGTGGAATATTTAGGAGCGAGGAAATTTCACGACTGGATTTGTTGCACAGGTGGCATCCTATCACAGTTCCACGCTGGAATTCACTGAGCTCCTGAGAGCGACCCATTCTTTCACAAATGTTTGTAAAAACAGTCTGCATGCCTAGGTGCTTGAATTTATACACCTGTGGCCATGGAAGTGATTGGAACACCTGATTCCAATAATTTGGATGGGTGAGCAAATACTTTTGGCAATATAGTGTATGTCTAGTAATTGATTACAATGCTTTAAACTTTTTTGTAAAATCGAAGTCTAATGTCTTTACAATTTCTCTGAGGGGTGCATCTTAACAGCAAAGCACATTTTTAAAGCCACTAAGTTAAGTCACTTTGATCAATTGCAAATTTCTACTTGAATTTTGCATTAAAATCTTGACCTGCAGGCATCCTTTGGTCTTAAAGATGCTGCTTTTTCATTAATGTTCTCTAATGAAGCTTTGGAGCCTTCAGACAGCCGGATATATAGTAAGATTAATGAGCAAACACGTGAGATTAATACGTCAGTAAAATGACGTTTGACAACAAAAACAGATTTATTTTTGGAAATCATAGAAAAGGAGGGCAGAATAGAAATGTGCACCGTACTCAATCTTTTTAACCTGAAATACTTCATAGCTCCCAAAATGACACATACTTTTAAGCATCTGTTACAGTATGGTGATTTAATGTGTTGATCTATCACTGATTTCCATTTAAAAAATCCTGATCAGACAAAAGATAAAGTTTATGTGGTGTAAAAACTTGAAGGTAGGCAGATAGACTATTTAAAATTATGCATATAGCAGGTTAGAGAATTCTGGGAAGGTAAGGTTGCAAAAAATAATCAAAATGTTTTGTCTTAAAATACCAAATGTGTGAAGAATTGGGAGGATTTTAACTCACGGTTCCAAAGTCTGCATTTGAGAAATAGCTGATCTCAGAGCAGAATAATGCTCACAATTTTTATTTTATTTTATTTTTTTTAACATCCGTCAAACTAAAATCAGTGAAGGTGTCCAAGTCTCTTCGTAGCCGTTTCCTTCAGCAGTCGGTAATTAGCAGCACATGCAGAGCAGCGAATAGACTTAACACTTAGTGGTGCAAGACTTACTGTGAAAATCGGGTTTCCCGTCTGCACTCTCAGCTCAGCCAGAACCCAGATTCCGTTGCTGAGCTTTACAGACTGATACAGCATGTCCTGGCCGTCCACTGTACGCTTAGCTATGGTGAAGATGTTGCTACCCTGAAGTTTGCTGGAGGCTGCATCTGTTAATATAAAAAAATGCAACAAGGGTGATCATTCTTATTCCTAACAATGACGCCCCAGATTTTATTTTAGCTGTGATATTTAATACTGAGCCCCTCAATGGCTTCTGTCATGCTCTGAGGCGGTCTGTCATTAAATGCACTAGACCCTGCAGAATCTCGTTCCTTTATCCTCCCCTAAAATTTTCTCTCCATGCATCCTGTACAGATTTTAATTCAGAATTGACTCCTCTTTGCAGCCTCAATCTCTCTGATGTGCCCCAGCAGGATGTGAAATCTCTCTTTGTTCAAGGAAAAGGAAATTCATTCTCTCAGGGTAACTCTCCATTAAGCCATCATTACAAATTCTCCTCCAGTCCTGCAATGCTCACACTCGTGTAAAACCAAATTATGACACATAAATAAGGAGTGCAACTCTCATCAAATACAATTTGCTTCATTAGCGAGGATTAGATTTGCGATAGAAATGTCTCTGTCTGGTTGCTTTTGTATATAAAGAGGCTGCAGATAATGGGTTTTTCCTCTTCATTAATTGCCCTTCTTACCCGAGCTGAGATGGCAATCTTTAATCTGAAACTGGGCCTCGTTGTCATTAGGAATGTCTTTCCATGTGGCGAGGAAAACTTGTCTCTCTGTTGGTAAGAATAAGGATAAGCAATCATTTGGGTGAGCAAAAGCAAAAAAACAACAACAAAAAAAACATGCTGACATCCTACAATATATGGGTCAAAACCAGCAACATTTGTGTTACTATCGTTGTTCCCCTCAGTGCTGCAGAGATGGAAATAAAACAAACCAAAAAAACGTGAGAGCAGTTAATTTCAACTGTCCAGACAAGGTGTCCTGCTGTGGCTTTGGCTGTGGAGCATTAGCTCTCGGCCTCTGGCAGCAGTCCTGCTGCTAGCCCCATCAGAAGGCTCCACAGGGACAAATGCTGACATATTTCCACCAAATAAATCAAATGACAACACAAGAACAAAGGGGTGGAAAACAGATCTGAAAGGTCCTGCTGCTTTGCCACGAGATGTGACTGGCTTTCAGCTGATGGACAGTAAACAAACATTCATGGCAAACATTCAGTAGCAGCCATACATGCTTCAGTGTTACCCTTATTTTGTGCCGAATGGCATCATCGGGGCTTCAAAGCATCAGTGTGAAGCGATTCAGCAAAGAAACACTCACCCATCTTCCCATCCTCAACAAACAGCATGCTGATGGGGTACTGGCAGCTGAAGTAAAACACGTCAATGTTGTTCTTAACAGCCACCTGCAGGGAAAAAACCTTTATTCATTAAATAAGCACAAAAGAGCCAGTAATAAAGTATAAATATAAGGTGTGATTGCTGACTTCACTTTCAGTTGTAATGAGCGTACAGCATGAAGTTTTATGCTTTCATCATTCACATTATTGATATCAGTAATAACATGATCAATATCTGTTCCTCTGCCTTCACATACATGACATTTAAAGATGTCCCATTAATAATCCATTGCGTTAGGCGCTGACCCAACCAAGTGTTTTGTATTCGTTTATGATCTTGTTTTTGTGATCTGATGACTTTCCCATCACTCACTGAAAGTCTTATATGAAAAAAAACTGATCTACTCCTGTCAATAAATATAAGTACATCAATAAAAAGCCTTATTTTGGACACATGAGCTACAGCTTTACGCTCCAGGGTTGTCTCTACATAAAGGGTCAAATAGGTGCATTAAATCCTCTAGTGTTTTATCTGGATGCTCAAGCAGTGGGAGGAAAGCTCCTTAAGAAACACCTTTTGTACCAAAAGTTCACCGACTGTTTAGCATTAAAAACTGCTGAATGATTCCTGCCTCAGTTGGTTCTTTAAAAGCCTTTATTTCTTATCCATCCATTTTTAGATGCACAATAAATAAAATGAAAATAGATTTATCAATTATCTCATGAATCATAATCACATGGGGACGTTTATTACTAGTCTACTTCTTCTGCATCGAACTTTTAGCAGGCTCTTTGGAATATTAAATTGATAATCTAAAAATATCAAATCTATTAACAGCATTTTAAGAGCAGGAAGCGATTAAAAATGGAGATACAGCAAAAGGAGAAAAGAAGCACAGAGGCTTATAAAAACAGAAGAATAGATGAAAACATTTGCAAAGAGTCAAAAGATTTCACCAGACAAACCATGCATTCAATAAAGAAGGGTTGGGTTTGCCTAAGCTACATCGACAGCCTCAAACAAGAGACTGAAAGATGAAAAAAGACAGAATAAAGGAAGCATCTGCAGAAACATGTACCAGGCAATGACACTGCCATTAGTCAGCTTTATAAAGAGGGGCAGCAAGAGGATGGGCTCATGAATAACTCAATACGACATCTTACTCCTCAGTGAAATGCAGGAATATAAACAAAAAAAAATAAGACTTACTCTAAATGTTCTTGAGATGACGCTCTATTAGAAAAGGTAAATTTGGTGTAATAACTTTGACGGCCAAGACTATTCAAAGTCTCCTTGACATGCATAACATCCTGCAGTTTATACAGCTTCATTTCTATGCTAAAAGGCTGCTACTACAGGTGGCATGAAGATTGAAAATACAATTTATAGTGAATACAAAATAGCATCTGGTTGTATGACTTTCATTTTAAATTAAAATGAAAAATCTTCAAATAGCAGTGAAAGGAAACAGGCCCATCAGTGCCAAACGTAAAAATAAATTTATGATGGTGGAGGTTTTTAAATGAACTGTACATTTAAGAATACCACAGTAAATATAGTAAAAGCATGTGTGGCATAGGGCTCTTGTCAGTGCATTTCAGCCTAATGGTCCCTTACGTTGACTTTTACGTTGAGATTTAACAGCTGTTTGGAGTAAACAAAAGTGTAACTGCTCATGAAATATTCATAGTGAAGGATTTTCAAAATAAAGTAGGCATCAAAAAAAAAAAAAGAAAAAACAGTACGTCAGATAAACACTGTTGTCGAAGCAGGAAAAAAGAAATATTAGAAAAGCTGTTGCCTGATCAGGAGGCAGAAAAAAAGGAGGCATGTGAGACCATTAATGACCATCCCCACCTTTATCATCCCCTTTGACAGTCTTATCTACCCTTCCCAGCTGTAAGCAGCAATAGTCCACCCAGCTAAAAAGAACAGCAGAGATCAAAACCAAACCGCTGCTATTTTTTTTTAAGGTAAAACCTTTTAGAGCCGCTTTAGCCGATTCTTAAAGTTTGAACTCTGCTTTATTCTCAGAGTTGGACTTTAACAGCATGGTTAAATAACAGTAGGGATGCATTGGTCATTTTAAGGACAGTATCTTAATAGTTATATTCAGGACAGTGAGACAGAACAGAAGGAAATGGTTTAGCATTGGAGAGCTGCTTTGCTCCAATACTATGAAGTTATTTTGTTCCATTATTGCTTCAAGAAAACAACATCTTTTTAAAATAAATAATAAAAAGAAATGTAGCGCAGAAATTTAAACGGAAAATCTGTCAATGGTTAAAATGCCTTTTTTTTTTCTCCAGAGTAACTTTGCTGTTTTCCTAACATTTTTTCAAATGAATATATTTTCTGAAATTTTGCTCAATTTCTCCTTTTTCCAGTTTACATTCTCTTCACTTCTTGAGGTGGAGTTTCCTCTGGAGTGAGAAGAAAAGATGCATTTTTATTTTAACAGTTTTATTGTTCAACTGCAAGTGTTTGTATTTGGCTTGAAATGAAGAGAAAGTGATCTAAGAAATGCTAATTAAAATGAATGCAGTTCATAAAACTCAATCTGAAAAACAGAAATAAAAAAAATGTATTAATGTAAAATCTGTAAAAAAAAATAAAAAAAAAATAAGTTTGAAAAAAATCCAAATTAAAAAAGTGAACAAATTGGAAAAAATAAAATCTAATAAATAAAAAGAAACAGCAGAAAGTTTATTTAAAAACCTTTTGATTATGATTTTTTTTTTTTATTTCCTGTTTGGATTGTAAATTTTTCAAACCATTTACAAAAACGTGTTTTGTTTTTTTGTGTCTCTTTAAATCTCGATTTACTAAGTATTTTCTTTGCTTGAAGCAAAGTGGTACAAAGTTTACTCTAAATGATACTCTTTCATGCTGATTTACCCCATTGCTTTTAGATAAAACCCAAAAGTGTTCAGTCATGAGTCTGAAGAGACGGATGGAGAAGCATTCAGCTTGGCTTAGACAACTTTCATCGTCATTTTGTATACACAAAGATTTTACCCGACTTAAAACCAACCATGATGGCTTAAATTTAGAGATAATGATTATAGTGTAGGCTTTACCTGCAGATTGTTGAGGGGATCCATCTTCATTACAGGGCCGACGGTACTGAGAGGAAGGCTCACTTCAATGCTCTGATTGGGGCTTAGGGGGGTCAGGACCTGGAGAGGACCAGCTGGAGCAAGACCAAAACTACAGTGGAACAAAGACGTAAAAATTATCCAGAAATCAACTCATAATAGAAATATAAACAAGTAACAGATCTCAACCTCACCTGTTCCTGTTAAACTGGATGGCAAAATCAGTCATGACACTCATCGCTTTATTGGTGAGAGTCATCTCCATTTGGATGACGCCACCACGGCGAGCAAAGGTGCCAGATATTTCGAGCCCCTTGCCTTTCATAGCTGGCAGCCAAACCTGGGAACAAATGGAGAATTTATTCAGGATCCATGATAATGAAACTATCCAAGTTTAATCCTAGAGTCACCTACTGTTTTAGGTGGGCTGTAGGCTCCCATGGGCATACCAACTCCACCTCCAAGATCAAACAGGTCATCCAGTCCCCCGCTTACAGGGGCACTGAATGGGGCTGCAGTAGCAGCTGGAGGGGCACCAAAACCGGCTCCCATCTGTGGGTCACAAAACATGTGGCGCTTTCAGCATATCTCTGTATCAGAATATTAAAGCCCAACAGGTCTCCCATAAAAAAAGGACTTACAGCAGAGCCTCCTCCAAGGTCTCCTCCAAGCTGAGCATGAGAAGGAAGCACAAAAAGAAATATTAGACACAATTAATAAATTAAACACTAAATAATACCCTAAAAAGGTTTTAGGAGGGTGGGTGCAGGGAGCTCTAAAACTTCTGTGTGGTTAATGGCAGCTACAGGGTTTAAACTTGCAAACAATCTTTATTTATTGTGAATTTGTGTATAGGCACAACCAGTCAGATTGGTTGTGAAGTGGAAAAATATAAATACATGTCTTTCAACAATTTTACCATAAAGTTGTAAAGACAACAAATATTCAATCTTAGTCTTATATGCCTTAAAAAAAAATCTAGGAGTGATTGAGAAGCTTCAACAACATGTTGAGAATCTGCAGCAAAACTTGAAATTCTCCACTATGCAGTTTAAAGTTATTACTGCAGCAAAACGGTGAATTTAAAAAACATTGGCTCAGGGGTGCTAAATACAAAAGCACTGCACTGTTTAGAGGATAACAATAAAAAAAGGGAACATGTACAGAATTCCCTCCATTTACATTAATCTTAACGGTGTATATGTATCATATTAATTCACAGGAAAATGTTTTCAAGGTTGTGGTTTTCATTTAACAAAAAATGTTAAAATGTTCAAGGGAACAAATAATTGTTAAAGGTGTAGTATTAAAGAAAATATGCATAGACAAAAGCTCCTTGTAAATTTTGCTGTTTATTGTAATAAAATAATAGAATTCATGTTTAATTCAAATACGTCAATGTTCAGGTGTAAAGGGAGGTGACAAAATGAAAAAAATCTTCAGTGTGTCTCAATCAGTGAGGGAGCAGGGATAACCTAGAAAGGTGATTTATTAAAACCCCTTCATCTAGTGGGATGACAAACAGTGTGACAACAAGTGCTAACGCAGTGATTATTGCTGGGGGTGCTACTAAAAGGAAATGGTGGCAGAGGATGGGACTATTTGGGACGCAGCTGGTCGTTACTGGTCTCCTGGACCAACCTCAGTAGGGCTGTAATCTGTGGGCGATGGGGAATGGTGTGGGATCTGAGGTGACTGAGGAGTGTCCGTCCGCAGGGGAATGGGCGGCTGAATAAAAGATGAAACACATTGCAGAGCACCCCCCCAAAAAAAAGACAGGAAAAGAAATGGACTGAAGGATTTATTATCAAACTTTATTCATGAGATTTAACATCTCATGTTGTGTTGTCTAAGTCAAAGCAACATGAGATGATGAATGCATGAAAAATGTCAAGACAGATCATCAGAAACTACTTCAGCAAGGGTTAAAGAGCCCATATAATGCTTTTAATTGTCTTTCTTGCACCATATTGTCTGCTGTGAATATAGAAAAAAAATATAAGATTAAAAAGTTAAGATAAAAACGGAATTAATTAAATTTTCGCTCGGTAGAAACATTGCTAAAAAGGTGACCTTCCTCATCAGAATATGAAACGGCTGTGAGAAATTTCTTTGCAATATTAAGTGACTTTTGAAGCTGAGAGTGACAAATAATATTAATTACAACCCCACTGCCAGTAATACACTGCACACTTCAATAAATGCAATCTAAATTAAACTTAACCCTGGCTGGAGATTATATGTCGACTTTAGGGAAATCAACTTAAAAGGTTGCAAGCCACGTGTTGAGGTCCAATGCAGGCAATAAAAAAAAAAATCCACGTGGTTTATTTCTGATGAGTAAAGTTTGGAAGGATTTTCAAAGTTTACAGTTTGTTTGTTTTTTCTTCTCACAGCAACTAATTGTCTTAATCTCTATGAACAACTTTGGCATCACTGGGAATGCAAAAAAACCCATCTTGAAGAAAGGTTTTTGTTTGCTTTCAAACCAAGGGATGTCCCAATACAAGTTTTTCGTTTCCGATACGATACAGATATTACAGCTTTAAGAATTAGCCAAGATCTATATCAGTGAAAATCATACAGACTTTGATTACTTATTTTGTACTGTAGAATGTTAGAAAAGGCTTGATCAGGTGCTGTTAATAAAACAGGGAAGAAAAGTCAACAACAAAATGTATAAGAACAACTGGCCCATGTAATATTAACCAACGAGTTACAAAAACTTTTAACTGAAGCGCTTTTCTGTCAGCATCAAAATATCTGAGATTTTAGTTGTCGGCAGATATAATACAATATTATCTTTATGGCCAATATCAGACCAATATCTGATGTTAATATCTGATCAGGACACCCCTATTAAAATCTGTAGAGTGCTTTCTTGCACAAATGAGCAAGAAAAGTTGAGCAAAAAAAGAAATATGCAAAAAAAATAAACTGAGAAAATAATTAACGATATTTCAAGCAATCAAGGAATGCACACAGCTAAATTGTGCATTCCTTGATGCCCAAGTGCCAAAAGTCTTTGGCACTTGGGCTGGCTGACTAGCAGACTTTTTGCTACACAAAAGCTACACTTGAAAGTCCAAGAGTGCTACAGCTATGTCTCTCTCTGAACACTTTAAGCCCCCTAAAGGTATTCCAACAATAAGCACGGTATGGGCTCTTTAGGATTTTTTTTTTTTTCCAATAATAACGGCTGTGTGTGACTGATAAACATTGTGCTCTCCCTATGTAGTTACCGGCTCAGACTCATCCCCCATCTGCAGTTGCAGCATTGAACAAAGAAAGAAGAAAAAACAGATCAAGAAAAAGGAAAAAGCAAGAAAAAAAAAGTTGAAAACAGAAAATATTCCGTGATTTAGCCCCAGTGATATTTTTCTAGTAAATGAAGTGAACCCACTTTTAGAAGCTGGCGGGTTTAATCCAATAATGGTGAAACATACCAGGCTGTCCAGTCCTCCTCCAAGAAGGTCCATGGCACCCAGCTGCAGGCCAGACGTGGCTGGTGGTGGCGGTCCACTGGTGGCTGGAGGTGTCAGATCAAGATTGAGTAGATCACCCAGGAGGTCTCCCTGAGATGGGATAACAGCAGGGGGGGCATCTGGAACTCCAGCTGCAGATCCTGTGTCTGGGCTCTCAACACTCTCTCCACTAGAAAGAGATAAAGTAGTTCAGCATGACTGAAATAATATCTATTCAATAATTGATATGTACTAATACGTTTACATTTCCCATCAATTCAACAGTGAGAGGGTCCCTGAAGCCGCAAATATGCTTCAACACTTCAGTTATATTGGGACATCCAAGTTCAGGCCTAGAGAGCGACTTTCCTGCTACTTCTAGATGCACGCCTTGTTCGACACACCAATGTTATGTAATTAAACTATGATTAGGCTATTCATTTTATTAAAAAGCCTATAAAAGTGACATTCACCTGATTCTATACCACAAAAAAGGACTTAACAAAACTGCTGATCAGTAGATTATGATAATAAAAAAAAAAAAAAAAAAAAAAAAAAAAAAGGGGCAAACAAAAACAAACTACATGCTTGTAGGAACATCAGTTCATTCACTGTTAAAGAAAACTAAAAGTCGTCCTGAGTGTGACTCACGATCCAGCACTGCCTGGGAGTCTCTTGTGCTGAACTCCACGGCTGCCCTCTACGAAGGCACTGGGAGGCTTGTGGTAGACGGAAGCCAGAGTGCCAATGTGGCAGATTAGCTCCTCCAGCAGAGTCGGCTCAATCAGATCGGTCTCCTCAGAGATCAGAGGCTTCTCAGCCAGAACCACCTCCTTGGCAGCAACAGGGTCTGTAGAGAGCAGACGCCAATAGATGTAGCCTCTGTCCCTGAGGTCTGGGTTATCAGAATCCTGCAGAAAAACATAAAGGAGTGATGAAGTTTTCATATAGATTATGTTTAATAAATATGAAATTTTAAGACTGTCTACTTTTAATATGGGACTAAAATATGGGATTTAAAAGCATTAATTCTCCTAAGCATAGTGGCCAACAGTAAAAAAAAAAAAAAAAAAAAAGGGGATTCATCTACACAATTTTCTTTGAATACCTTAACCTTAAGAAATTACGTTTTTTTTTTTTTTTTTTTTTTTTTTTATGTTTCCAAATCCATTTATCAGACAAACAAAACTGATTCATGAGATTCTTTTATTTTGTGATGTCAGGACTACACTCATTATAGCTGCATATTTACTATGCAAACTAAGCTGATTTGAAATAGGACTGCAGACTAATATAGCAATTTTGTTTTGATTTTTCTCTGCATTTACCACCAGAATATGGATGTTTCACTCAAAGACATTGTTTTCATGACTTTGGAAGCTTGTTTGTCCAGAGTCAAGTTGTCAGAGGACACTTCTGTCACTGCTGCTTGGCAAAGTGCTAACTTCTTCTTGTATGCATGGATCTCCACATGAGCTGCAATTCCCTTCTATGAGGTGATAAACCCACTTTAATTGCATTACTGCCACATAAAGGGCGGGATAGGGAAAGTTAGTGTCTAACTCTTGTAAAATATAATGTGACCAAATTTTAAATTGCAAAATCCAATGAATTACCCTGCTCCAAATTTGAATTCTCAACAAACAAGCATTTCAAAAAAATTTGCCATCAAATATTAAAATGTATCTTTTATTTAACATTTTAAACTAAATAAATACATTGAAATTATAAAGAGTAAATTCTTTATTTTAATATCCAATTAAACAGAAAAAATCTCTTTACTGAAAACAAGGGTCTTCTGGAGTTAGTTGTAGAGAAAAGGCCAAAATCACCACTCTAGATTAATCCTACATCAGAGAAGCTAAATTAAATCTAATCAGGTAAATGTTTAGCTCAGTTAGCTCAGTCATGTTGAGCAGCCTACATGGAATATCGATGTGCACCAAATGCTGACGTGAAAAATCCTTTACTATATCTCAAATTAAGCTAATGTTTTGGTCAAAATTTAAACTGTGATGATTTAAAAGTACATGTGGTTATACATTTGTTAATTGAGGGAAAAAACACCCAAATGTTTGGGAAACTCTGGACTAAACAAATACACATTCTTAAAGCACCAAAAAGTCATTTAGATTGAGAATAGTCATTTTGATGCTAATTAGCAACTGAACCAACTCAGATGTGAAGGAAGATAGCAAGGAAAATTAGCAACCATTTGTAATATGCATTTTAATTTATAGGTGTATTAAGGATGATAATTAATTAAATGCATCTGTCAGACCCTCAGGTGATGATCAAAGTTTGTAACAAAAAATGGAAGCACAAAACATCTGTTTGCAGCACACTTAAAAAAAAATAAAAAATTGTCAGAGCATCTGTTATCTCTCTTCCTTGCCCGTCATTAATCAAGACGAACAGAGGAAGACATACGCCCGTCTGTTCACACCCTTGTTGATGCTCACTTCTGGTCACCAAGTTTAAGGACGACCAGAAGTAAAACAAAGACACATTTTTAGGGGTTTGGAAATATTTGCTTTCACAAGTCACAAGACAGTTAAAATAGGAGGAGCAAAACCTATAACACTTATTGAAGGAAACACAGTTTCAAAGCTAAATAGGTTGATAGGGTACAGGCAGCCTGCAGCAAACTTAACCCAAAATACAGCTAAATAAATTAGCTGATCTGTTTAATATAGTTATACAGTTATACTCTAAAGAGAGCACAAAAAGCATTTCTTTAAACTTATAAAAATGAGCAGGTGGTTATAGTGTATCAACAAATGTTAGATCACTATGGTGTTCATTTGTTCTACATAAAAGAAATCCAATCAAATTTCTATTACAACCTATTATATACCCATGTAGCAACAGAAAGACAAAAAAAAAAGACAAAATTGAAACATAAGAAGAATTATTTTTGCTCTAACCTGTGTGGCCAGGCTGAGAACCTGCTGCACCAACTCCTGGGTCTCTGTGGGTTTCTTTAGGAACAACTTGACAATTGCAGTCAGTAGCTGCAGCTGCACCTAAAAGATCATAGTAAACACGTGCAGGAAGTTATAGCTAGTTATTAGACATTTGAAAAAGGATGCCTTAAATCTTTAATGCAACAGTAAAAAAAAAAGAATCTTCATAAGTGTTGGCCTAGTGGGTTAGAGCAGCCGGTTCGATCCCCACAGCCTGCACTCTGGGTTCCTGAACAAAACTTTAACTTTTGTGCCACACAATGGTAGCCCACTGCTCCCCAAGGGTGTGTGTTAAATGCAGAGAACAAATTTCCCCATTGTGGGACAATAAAGGGATTTACTTAATGGATTAAAAAATAAACCAAACGCTTCAACTGAATCATCACATACAAGGGCAAAATAAGCCAATTTAAATCTGTACGTTCTTAAATATTTTTACATAAATGTAATTTAAAAAAGGAAAGGTTTTCTGAATTTCATAAAATTCATTTTCTCCTTTTAAAAATCCTCTGAGCAGAAAATACTTTCAAGGCAATAGTGTGGAAATCCTACTTATGCTCTATACCTCCCACTATGAGCTGAATCTTTCATGAATAGAAAAAACTACACATTGCTCTGAATCCCATTGTGAACCAATGTGTATATATAAAAAAAAAAAAACTGCTGTTGACTAAATTGAAAAGAAAATGTTATCAAGGGACTGCCTTTGATTTAATTGTTCCTTGCTAAAGACCACTGCTTACTTTTTAATTATTCTTTAAGGGCAAATTAAGTCACCAGTTAAAAAGTGTTTTATTAAGCGCCCCCATACTTACATCTTGTGCTTCATGTTAGTTTTACAGCAGCAAGAAAGGGTTTTCCAGCACAAAATATATGCCGTCTTGTGCCAGCACTAATTGGAAATCATTGACTCAACTACAATCAGGTATTTTTTATTCAAAAAACCTGGCAGCTTAAAAAAAAAAAAAAAGACACACACACCTGAGTGCTTTCATCATGGAAACCTTCCAGAAAGCTTTCGAGAAGCTCATCAGCATTGTCAATGCGCTCAGCGTACTCTCCCACAATCCAGATCATGGCGGCGCGTGCCTCTGGCTCATCCAAGGAATCAAGATTCTCACACAGAGTGGCAATCACGCTCTCATACCTTTAAAGAGTTAAATTCAATAACATATTTAATAAAATGAGATAAAACGACAATATGAATGTTACAGACACACTTTATAGCTAACCCATAACATTCTGACATTAAAAAGGTATAAAACATGCAAAGGTTATAAGGTGATGTAAGAGCACACAACAGCAAGTTTGGGTATTAAAACGAACGACTCATTGCACTACAAACTCATCAAGCTGTATTTTAGAGTGCTGTTTTCTGACAGCTTTACAAATGTAGATGTTTTTTGCATACATTTTGGCCACGAGTTCTGGGCTTTTATTCAAGATGCAACCATATTTCTCTCTGAAGTGCTTCAGGTTCTTCTGATCTGCATAAGATTCACAGCAATTAATATCTCCATTTACATAATGGTTCCATTACAAGCTATGCTAAGGCACAAATGTTTAATTAATGAGAAAGAGCAAACTTTGACTGGCTGGTGACTAATTTAGCTCAAAGCATGAACCATGCCGAGCTGGTAGGCTCTGCGAAGCTGCTCCCTTCAAGGCTCACTACTCCGGGGTGATTGTGTTCTGCTGCGTGGGCGAGCTTCCTGTCTGGCACAAGAACACACTCCGCAGCAGAAGCCATGCTGCAGCCAAATTATCCTGACCTTTGACCATGTGGAATCATAGCGAGCCGTCAAAAATATCTAAGAAGGCCCTTAAATCCTGGCATAAAAAGTCTAAAAGTTCTAACATTTATCAGACATTAAATTTTCCATCCTATAAATCTTTCAGGAAACAAGTATATAATTCTTTTTCTTCACATTTAATCACAGATAATTTATTTTAAAAATTTTTACAGGTTAGTTTCCATAAGAATGGATAGAAAGATACAAAAATAATATTTCTGACTTAATATTTCTGATACTAATATCTAAAAACAGTCCCGGTATTAAACAAAAAGAAAATCTATATTCTAGATCAGGCATTTGAAAATGGGGGAAGTTCTATTCTCTCCATTTGGATAATAATAACCGAATGAATAACTTTGTTTCAGTCAAATCAGAAAATAATCATAATTTGTTAGGTTAAACTTATCTTCAACAGAAGATATATTTACTCTCATTTGTTATTGATTTAATGAATCCAGCCATTTTGTACCATTAATGTGTCATATTTGTTTTCAGGAAAGAATTTGTTCTGGAGGGGAATTGTGTTGCCCGGACAACAGAGGCAAAGGTAGGCATCATTTTGGAGCTCAGACCGTGCAGGAGGAGATCAGCGGAAGAACCAGAGCACAGAGATGCCCAGAACAGATGCAGCTCTGGAGCTACTAGAAGATGAATGATAAACAGTCCTTTAAAGGACTGTTTATCATTCATTTTATTTTTTATCATAAAGCCACCCACAAACCTCTTAAAAGCATTCTTTACTTCATCCTATGTCAACATATCCCCCCCTCTTCTCTTTTGATTGAAATAATTGTACGTATTGTTACATTGCTAGAAGTGCATTTGTTGCATTGCTGCGTTCTGAACACGCCTCTACACTGTGATAACTTGTCAATCGTGTGCTCCAGTCGCTAAAGACACATTCGGTGTCAACACATCAGTGTGGAACTTTCCATACAAGTGAGAATTAAAGATTTAAGCTTCAACAGCTTTTTAGTCATAATTAAAGACAAAGCTGGATTTAGAAATGCTGACAGTTTTTTTTTTTTCGTTTTTTTTTGCAAATCTCAGATTTTAGGTAACGGTCTACAAAATGTCCAAACAAAACAAAGGCCATTTAAAATTTATTATGCCAACTGCTCAAACAGCATAAAAATATATAAGTAAAACTCAGTTGCACAGCAACTGCTCTCCATCTCACACACATAAAGCACAGACATTGTCTGATAAGTGAAACAAAGCACTGATGTGCAGTAAGACACGTACTTGTTGGGGTACTTGCGGAAGATGTCCTTGATGACAACTATGGCCTCCTGAACCACATAATTGACCTTGGTCTGTATGAGATCCAGCAGTGTGCTGACACAGCGCTCTGCTGATTGCTGATAAATGGAAGGAGGAACAATAAGTGCCATTTAGGAAAACATGTAGAACAAGATGTTTTTATATGTTTAAACACCACTTTACATGAAGCATAAAGTAAAATAATCTACAAAACAGAAAGGATTATATTTCATTTAGGACTATGCTGAAATAAAGTCCTTTAGATCCAAGCTTCCTAAGTAAACCGTAATAAAACAAGCATTTTTCTTCCTGGTATAACAAAACCTATGATCCAGTTGCATTTATTTCTACTCATCTAAACAGAAATCACAAATCCATCAACAGACCCGGCTTGTGTATAAAACCATACTTTATGAGAGGTCGAACAACATTTGCATTATTTTGAATGAGGGATTAGCTCTAAGTGCAACGATATAATAAATTTGAAAAACATAACAGGTACTTTGATTTCCACTAACCTCCACTTTGATGGCACAGCGGCCGATGGCCCTGACTGCTTTACGCACAAAGTCCACATCTACCTCAGTGGCATACTCCTTCAGCTCCGCCAGCACCTACAATGAAAAACAGCAAAGCTCTTTTTCATGTGAGATTAAAAGATCAAATGCACATTTATAAATCAGACAAATATCATAATGTAATTTCAGCAATTCTGTTTAAAAGCTGAAACTTTCATAATATGTTGACCATTTAAACACAAATGCATTTTTTAAAAGTATTCATTTTATGGTTAAATAATTTGTAAAAAAAAAAAAAAAAATCCAATATCAGAAAATTTGAAATTAACAATAATAACCCTATTTTTTGCTTATGCCAACCGAAAATCCAGCAGCTGTGGCTCATGACCTGGATATGTCTGTGTGCCGACCTGAAGCCCTGACCTCTTACCTGAGCAATGTTGGCCTGAGATGCAAGGCGAATCATTATGTCCAATTTCTCCAATTTGACATAGATTGGGTCATTGTACTTGACAAAGAAAACCTTCATTTCATGTTTCAGGATTTCTGGTCTAAAAAGACAAAAAGCATTTTTACAACTATAATATGACAAACTAAACTAAATAAATAAAAAACACATTCATGAAAAATTGTAAAGTGCTATTAAATAGCGTTTCTATTGACATACCTTCTTTGCACAATAAGGTTGATGTTTCTAAGTGCAACATACTGCAGCTCAGGCTCAGCAGACAGCAGCGTGACCAGAGGGGGGGCAAGCTTCTTCAGCAAAGTGCCATAATAGTCGAGGTCTTTTGGGAGCATTTCCATGAACTTCATTAAAACTTTAACTGCTGACAAAACCACCGCTGAGTTGGCATGAGAGAGCCGTGGGGTAACGCGCTCACAGATGCTGGCAGATGTTAAGGGAGAAATTAAATTGAACAGTTAGAAGAGGTTATCCAACTGACAGAGGGGGAAAATGTGTGAGGGGTAGCTGGGGAAAAAAAAAAGCTTACCTTTGGGACTCACGATCATCCCGTGGTGTGTAATTTGCCAGACAATCTAGAATAAATATCTGTCCCCACTCTGTGCATTCATTAAGAGCCGTCAGCAGCTTGTTTATAGTTTGAGGGTTTAGGTCCAGCAGGTTGCTGTTGGGATGTGACTCTGCAATTTCAGACAGGGCTGCCACCGCATTTGCTACGACCTTAAGAGAAAAACAAGGGTTCAGATGAATACCGACCTAAATTGTGATACAAAAAAAAAAAAAAAAAAAAAAAAAAAACAGGGGGGGGTGGTATCAAAGGGAAGAAAACAGAGGTTCTGACAGGGAAGATTGGGTTGAAGTGATGCATGATATTTATGACGGAAACGTTAACTTTCCCATTAGATTAGAATCCGAAAAATGTTAAAATCATCTGAAAAACTAGATGGATCTTTATAGTGCCACTGAGATTAGACTTTAATAGCAAGCGTTGAGGAGAACAACTTTTTTTGCAAAATGTTTACTTCCAGATACATTTTTTTGATAAGAAAGAAAATAATGGACAGAAGATCTCTTCTCTTCAGGAAGTTTTGTGCATTCTGAGAAATGCGATATAGCAAGAATAGTACAGCTGTCTAACTTTTGTTGGTCATTCTGTACAGAAAATTTCATAAATGTAAAGTAAAATCTACATTATCTTTGAAACTGTAAAAAAAAAAAGTAAATGAACAAGTAGCTTTATCAAATGAGTGGTAGCTTTGCATCAGTTTATCAGGAAAAAAAAAACACACCAAGTCAGATTTTTCCTACCATGGGGTTGGAGTCTGAAATGAGATCTTTTAGCGTGTCCAAAAAGCCTTGGTCCTCCACTAATTGGGCGTTGATATCATGCAGCTTTGCCACACACACTGCAGCAGTCTTCCTCACATAGGGGTCTTCGTCCTTCAGACATTTTCTCAGCGGCTCACATAGGTACTCAGTGATCTTATCCACACGAATGCAGCCCATGGTTCGAACGGCGAGGGCACGGATGAGTGGGTTGGGGTCTTCACAGTCCTTAATGGGGGATTGACAGGTGTAATGAGTTTCAGGAAAAACAGACATAACTTGCAGGAGCATTCTTCACACAATCCGAGGGTGTATAATAGTAACTATTGTATAATATAATAGTCTCTACTTTAGAAGACCGGAAAACAGGTTAAATGCTTGATTGAAAACTGGATGGCACACAGAGACGAATTGAAAAAAAAGACCTTCAAGCTGCTACATTGAGTTTTTCCCAGTAAATGTGTATAAACAGGTTTAAATTACAGACAATATTATCAAGGCAGTAATCATGAGCTGCACTTGAGTAAATTCTCATATAATCATGTTACTAAGAGACAAACTTGTAAAAAACAAACACTCTTTTTTTTTTTTATTACCTGATTCCATGCAACAGCCCTTTGAAAAACACCAAGTGAAGGTTGAGACTGTTTTAACAGGCCGAGTATAAACATAGTTTTAAACAGTAATGAAAGGCTGAGCTTTACCTTCACAAAGGTGTTAACAGCCATGATAGCCATGTCTGGTTGACTTTTGGCATAGTTCATTAGATAGAGGTAGACCAGCTTTTTCAGCTCTAGGTTGTCAGTCTGCATGCAATTCACCACATCTGGAAACAGAGCACTATAGGACAAAAAAAACTGCTATAAATCCAATACAATAGCTCACTTTGTTTCTGACATATTTCCCTTTGCTCACCTGACATCCTTCCCCACAGTCATCGATGCAATGACCTTTTTCACAGCCTCCTTCTTCTTCTCTTTCTTATCACTGTTCAGCTCCGCCTTGAGCTCAAAAATCTCCCCTGCACACACACACAAGGTGAAGAAAAAGGAAGGTCATCTAATTTAGTAAAACATGACAAAGAAAAACTGCACATAATTTTGCTACAATCCAACAGGATGGTGAGATTGTACCAGTTGAGGGTCCATGCCAATTAAGACATTTGAAGTTGTTAGGGCATTTTAATACTCTGATTTTTAAGAGTTTCTAGATAGAGTTGAAGGCGGTGACATGTACCAATTTTGTTTTAAACACTTTGTCAATGCTCTGACGGCTTACAAAGTCTCTAAAAATAATGTAAAACCAAGGCTGCAAAGGGCCAAATCCCAGCAGTAATGTTCTCCTTTTTCTACAGCTTAACAAAGCAATCATTAAAATTAATCAACAGCTAAAAAAAAGATTTATGAAAGTAGGATTTATTGCAAAACCTTACTAATATACCCCTTTCCCACTGGCCAAAAAACCCATTTAATACCAGGAACAATCTGCTTTTAGCAGCAGTGGGAACAGCTTACTGACCCTTGTCTACCCAGCTCAAATGATTCGACAAGCGACCTGCGTTAAAATCGCCTCCGCTCTGATCGGCATGCTGTGGGAACACCAGAGCCGAGTTCACCCGCTAAATGATGTGACACCGTTGAACGCAATATACATACTTCAACACATCGTGAGAGCCACGTTTGATCTAACAAGACGAAAAAACTTTGTTTACGTTCAATAAATATGGCTCAGCACTGGAAAGAAGGATTCGGAAAAATAAAAGAGCGAAAAAATAAAGCACAGTGACTACGCCCTGGCTTCTTTACGCGTTTCTCTCCATTGTTTACTTTCTTTATTTCTGTTGCGCTGGTGACTGCAACGTTAAGCCAGTGTGATGGTGTCACAAGACACGCAGCAGCAGGGAACAGAGGCCAGGCAGCTTTCTAGCGAAGGGTTGGACACAGCTTTTTTTTGCCAATGGGAAGGGAGCCAAATGCTGACTGTTAGCGGGTCGACCCATGATTGAAAAACACAGGTAAACGTGCCAATTTCAGTGTGAAAGAGGCTTTAGACAGGGATCAGCTGAACCACAAAAATGGGAAGTAAGTTGAGGTTTCTCTTGTTTGTAAAGTTAAGTCAGAGGAATAACAATACGCAAGTGGTAATTTTCAGCAAAACCTCGAGGTCTCCATGGGAATATTTTTGCAACAATAGGAAAGTTGTTTTTACATTAACATGTCAACAAAGGGCACTTATGGGTTTGAATTTAATCCTAGTCAAAGAGTTTCCTGGCTTTTGAAAGCTCCCTTAAGAAAATAGCAAAAGTACTACACAAATGTTTTAATTTAAAAGCAAAACAATACCATTATATATTTCAAGCAATATTGAAGATGAATACAGGATAAAGGAATGGTAGGATAAAGGGAAAGGTTTAAAAGAGTTTGCCACCTGCAACTTTATCAGTAGATATACATTTTCTGATTCTCTTTAACTATAAAGAAAAAATACCAGCTTCCATCATGGACACTTTCATTATGATAAAAATCTATCCTATCATTTTTACTGGGACCAATATATATTTTTTTAAACATTGTATTATATCAAACTATTTTGACTAATAATTTAACACTTGGCCACTCAAACAAACCCAAATGCACTTGACTATTTCAATGTGAACATTTAAAACAAAAACTTAGTAAACCAATAATGAACATAAAGGAAGCATTCAGACCTTTCTTGGTGGTGGTGAAATACTTGGAGTCTGTCATTTTGGATCCAAACTGTCGGTTCTCCTACAAGTAATCAGAAGGTGAAAAGAAAATGAAGGGTTTTACCCAAGTGGAGTCTTTTAGTATCACAAAAGCAGCAGGAAACACTGGAAGTGCAAGCAGAAGGGAATTAAAGGATTTCCTGTCTTTTCCTGAACAGATAGCAGCAATGAGTAAGACAAACAAAAGATTTTGCTGAGAAACCAAATTCTGACAATTTTATCTTGGGATAAAACGTCTGGATCAGCACAGACAAGGCCAACAGGGGCTTCCTCAGTCAACGCTGAATGTATTCAGGATGATGTGAGAATGAGCATTTCCACTTCATCAAGCAACTGTCAGGAAGATATAGTTGCCCATATAAATTGCAAGTATATATATATATATATATATATATATATATATATATATATAAATTGGATTCATAGAGAAATCACTGGCTTTCTCCACTCAACCTGTTTGTTTACACATATAATGAAAAGATCTTCCATCACTAGCAGGGGAAAAAAATACAAATATGAATGCAGATGTATTTTGTTTTGTTACTCGTCTACACAACATTTTATCAACGGACAGGCCTGTGCTGCAGTGAGAAAACATGCGATTCTGACATTATTGCATACTATAGAAATGACAACACGATAAACTTTTTCCCAACTGGTTTCTTTTTTAGGTTCATCATTATGTTCCCAACACTTTATCTTCCTGATCACTTTGGGAATGAAAAAAAAAATGACCAGCCATCCAAACAGGGAAATATATATACAGTATAAATTTTCAGCCAGAGTCAGAATGCATAGCACCTGAAAAGCAGTCATAGTCAGTTAATCTGAATATGTACTCTAGTATTAAACATGTTTAAGCCACACTTTCTGAGTTGAATTATTTCTAACTGCTCTGATGGGATTTTTCCATGTTAAATGTATTTAAATTACCTGCAAGTAGTAAATGTCAAAAAGTATCAAATAAAGGCTTGAAAAAAACATGAAAAGTTACATGTAATCAAGCTACATAATCTGTTGCACTTAGTGAATTGAGTAACCTCCATAAATATATTTTATTTATGGCAAACAATTTTTTAAGTCTATCTTTAAAAGGCTGATAACAATATTTAGACATTTTACTTAACTACAGTCATTGTATGTTATGCTTCTTTGAATGATGTGGACAATATAACGAAAAATTGCTGTGTTTTAAATGCACTGAAGAAAATACTTTAAACCGTTTTAGTTTTGGTACATTTTCTGTGATGCATGTTCGATAAATGTTATTTCGCACTTACATGCATTTTGTGTGTATTTCTAAAGGTTTTATAGATTCAATTCAATTCAGTTTACTTATATAGCGCCAATTCACAACACATCATCTCTACGTCTTTACAGTTCACCAGATCATCCAGTCAAATTTCAAAGTTTTCTATCCAAGGACAACCAGTTGATTGCATTGACTCTGACTCAAATGCAATCCCTAACACCAAGCATGCTTGTAGCGACAGTGGAGAGGAAAAACTCCCTTTTAACAGGAAGAAACCTCCAGGGGAACCAGACTCAGTGTGAGCAGCCATCGGCTGAGGCCGACTGGGGTTCAAGGAGACAGAAGCAGAGATACAAAAAACAACTGTAAAAGGCTGCCCCTTCTAGGAAGGATGAAGAGAGCACATCCAGCCAGTCACATTCAGAGAAACAGGACTACCCTGGAAAAACAGGCTGATCTCCAACATCTATAAACAAATGTGTTGATGGCAGCAACACAGCTGATATTTCTCTCCAGGGTGGTAAATAGATGTGTTTAGACTCTGATCTAATTTAAATGTGACACTATATTCCTGAACATTTTCCAAGGTTTACTATCCTTTCTAATTTCTATGATTGAGAACAATCGTCATTTTAAATCAGGACAAAACTAGATAGTGTAGGAATAAGGCAACGTTCAATAAATTTATTAAGTGTTTCTGTATAAAATTAAAGCATAATACGACTGTTACGAGAAACTAGCTAAGTAAAGTACAGTTGGATATTGTACATGTAGGCATTTGATATTTAAAATTAAACTGATGGCTATAGTGCAACCTCGCTTAGGTTGACAAATTTCAGAAAAGAGGTAAAACCTTCCGTTTTGTTTCGCAGGTGGATGTCAACATCTGACAGGTTGTTAGCTCCGTCATTACATCGATCGAGCTAGCAGCTCAGTGCGGCTCAGACGGTTACTACATAACCAAATGCCAAACCGATACCGCTCTACTTTTAATAGTCTTTCACAACTATAAATTAATGATAGAAATATACAACAAGCGTTGACTTTAACAAACATAACTTGGCCACAAAGAAGTGAAAATGTTCGCTAACTAACTAGCATAAAGCTAAGATGACGTTAGCACAGCGAGCTCGAGTCTTTACAGAAACACACGCTAAATAATCAGTTTGTGGGAAGAAAAGTTAGCAAAATACCGTTTTATGCGTAAGTAATTAATTATCATTTTCGCCCTTTTACTCACGCATAGCTGACTTGCCCATTCTTGCATGTTTGCGATAGTTGGGATAGATGAATGAAACTGATGCTAAAGGCTAACAGTGCGCCTGCTGTCAGTGGCAGCTAGCAGCTCAGACATGACCTTCTAAGTCGAAGCTTAAAGAAGCCTTTCTCGGGATAGTTAAGCTCTTAATCTACAAGCCTAATACAAACCTTAGGGCCTGAATTACCGTACCGTCTGGAGATATAATAAAGCTCGCCACACAACAACTTAAAGAGAAAATCTCCAGAAAAACCTTACCGTTTCAGGCGTAGTAGGAGCTGGTGGCCTTCGTCTCCTCCCACTTGTTTTATTTCCGTCCTCGAACAACTATGAGGCAACGTCAGCCTTCATTCATTTAGGATGGCTTTGCTGTGTACAGAGCTGGGGGACTGGGCATTTCTTCCTCAAGATATGAGTTCTTCTGGGATACATTAAGATTTTCTATCTACAACAGTTTGATAAAAACTAAAACTGTCTGTCTGAAAAAAACAAAAACAAATTTTCCATTTCCCTTGGTAGCTTTTGCAGTCAGTTTATATTCTGAAGATAAACTCATACACAAATGTTTTGTGTAGTATACATATTCTATATATATATATACAAAGGCCTGTCAGGCTTTTCTGTGTTTTGAGCTTTTGAGTCTGGTTTGAGTCTGGTTTCAGGGGCGGAGCTAGATAGGGGTGGTAGGGGTTGGGGTGGTCACCGCTGTGACCATTTTTTTTCTCTCAAGCAGAATATTCAAAACAATTTAATTTTATATATATTAACAATTACTTGACAACAAAAACACTGTGGTTTATTATTAATGTCAATATAGCAACATTAGTGATAATTAGTACAGAATTCATGCTCTTTCAGAACTAGATTTTGTGTTATATGCCATAAAGAGAAAATTATGTCTGCAAGTCACCTAAGAGTCTTCAGTGAAATCATATATACTGTAAATAACTATTTTAATAAAAACCTAATAAATAATCAATTAATGTAGATATTAGTGCTTGTAAATATCAATTTTATGCAGAATAATTACTGATAGAAGTAGGTAAATAATGACAATGGAGAAGATGTTTGCCCAAAACTCAAACCTGAAAGAATTTTATCCAATATACCTTTTATCTAGACAGATGTTTAGATATAAGCATCTATTTGTTAGCAAAGGCTGTAGGAAACTATAGTTTGTCTTTATTTAGGAATATGGACGTTGTGCTTGTTTCTGTTGGAACAGTGTAGATTGACCCTGAGGTTCTGGTGCCTATCCACTTTTGGCCACTCCTCAGTGTACATTGGTTATTGCCTGGCCACCCTTCTAAAAAGTTTCTGGCTACGCCTCTGTCTGGTTTCTCTTCCCTTTGTAGACTTGATGCAGGAAAGGAGGAAATAAGCTTAAATTCCTGTTGCACAATTGACAATTTATCTAATGGCAAGTTAGGCCTTCCCTTTTTCAGATAGAAAACAACAATAATAAATAAAAAACTATATGCAAGTATGCTAGAAGGACTTTTGCTTGTCAAAGCAAATGATATGTGAACAAGCAGTAGAAAGCAAGATAATGGTAGAAAATAAAGATTCTCAACTGCAATTTGACAGCATTTTTAAAGCTGGAACCAGTGTAAAATAAGCTTAATGTTCCTTCTTTCTTTTTTTTTTTAGCAGTTGGGGGAAAAAATGTTAGTGAGTGCCTTGTACTCGGTTTTTTGTACTGTCAAAAGGTTCCCATTTGTTACTGCAGAATTTACTCAGTCACTTAAATCTACTAAAGAGAAACATTAAAAAAAGGTATCCATCATTATTTTTTTCAAAATAAAAGGTTTGGTTCATTTCTGGGTTCAAAAGCTAATTGCAATTTTTGAGGGAAGGCAGGCCTTGCGTTGGGGAATAAGTATGTGTTTAGATGATCAAACTGATTTCTGAAATATATTCTATGCAGAATATATTCTGCATTCAATATTCTATCCAAAACTGTGAAAAATAAAACAAGTGGACTTTATTTTATAGTTGAAGGCATTTTGACTGTTCTCTTTAAGGGCGTTTTCAATTTATAGAAAGAGCAGGAGAACTTCCACACCCTTTTGCTGAATGGGTAATTGTGAGTGTGCTGCTGCCACTCTTAGCGAGGACTTTCTTGGAAAAAAAAAAAATAGATTTCTAATCCCAGCAGGATCTGCCTGGATAGATTAAGGTTGCATAAATACATACATAAGTGTGCCGTGTTGCAATCTAACTTCACATGCAGATTGAAGAGCAAAACCCCTTCGAAACTAAAACAAAAAAAACACATATGTAAACATTTTTTTTTTTACCTTTTGTTCCATTTTCAAATGCATATACCATGCAGGCAATTTTGTTGAATATTAATTTGATAATCTTCAGATGCATCAATCATGTTTTTTTCCCCAACCAAAACTTGTACAATTAGCTCCAGCTATGGCATAAAATATAGCAAATCATATTCTAGGTGTGGTAAAAAAAACAAAAAACAGTGGTGTAACCAGATGTTTGCAGAGCACACCAGCGACAGACTGGCTGATGTTAACATGCCAACTAAAATGTGTCTTCTGCACTTTAGAGAAAACACGACCAAATGCAATCAAGCATTTCTCAGCAATAAAACTCTTAGGTCACTCAGTATTTTATCTGGTTTATTTGAATTCAACAGTTTAAACTGTTTAAAGGCCTTACCTTACAAAAATCAGGTTTAATTTTTAACCAAACTGTTAACCTATTACAAAGTGAAAAAGAAAATACTGCAAAAAAAAAAAAAGCCTTTTAAAGAACTAAAGAATAAAATAAACAGACATTTTAAGCTAGAGAATATTTTTTTCTGTATATAAAATAGTCTCCAACATGTGACAACGCAGGCAAAACAGTTTGAAAACAAAAGTCTTTATTACAAGAACAACTTAAAAGCATTTTAAGAATTAAAAACACTTTTTTCAGTATCGCCCCAGTATACTTACATAGTACACGGTATCAAGCGAACCATACATTTTTTTTGGTAAAATGGCATCACATCACAAACATTCAGATTTCACTGATTTAGATTAAAGATGAGTGAGAAACTCATGACATTTAAAAATGTGCACAAAAAAGCAAGCTTTTTTTTTACTTAAATATTTAATTTTATGACTGTCAACAAAATATTTTCCCATGTTTTCTTGATGTCACAGTTTACAAAGCTGGCAGATTTAAACTACCAGTACATTATTATTTGAATGCACCAAAACAAAATTGAAATTAAATTCAAATGTTAGTTATAAAGAGTTTGTACAAGTAAAACCCATGGCTCCAAGACTGATAGAATAATTTATCTGAGGCTATGAGCATCCTTACATGTTAGAAAGTAGGCCAAATATGTATACTTGTCTAAAGGGTAGTTACAACCCCTTTTAAGGTGGCTATATTTTATCAAAATCCTCACATTGCTGGATTCCCTACATCATGTTTTTGTCAACAGTCCTCCAGACATAGAAGGAATTTGAGCCCACTGAGAGCTGATCCCATAAATAAATAAATTAGATCAAAACCCTTTCCTTCTCTACTCCAACTCTATACATATTACCATACCATAAGTACATACATACACACTCAACCTCTACACTTTCTTTTCACCCCATTAACTTACAGTGTGCTGCAAAAACATGCATATAATCCACAGTAATCACACTAAACCCCCAAATTACGTGATGTTTTTGAAGTTCCAGCAAAAACCTTTCAACTTTCAAGTTCATTTAACAAGTTATGCACAAATTTATTACATAAACCAGTATGGCCATTGTCTGCGACTAGTCAGGTCCTCTGTACTGATGGGAACAGCAGCTTCAGAAAAAAAAAAAGAAAAAAAAACCCAACAACCTTACTCTCCAGTTACCGCATGAATTATTTAAGCCCTTTGGAAACACTCAAGCTACAGTCTTGATCATCCATTTCATCCACTCATTTCTATTTGGGTCATTCCATTGTTACTGGTTCTACCCAGCACCAGGACAAAACAATAGAAACATATTCAGGAAAGAAATACAGCGAAATTTGTATTTTAGCCACTAGATGTCACTACCTGGTTGCGTAACCTCCATCACACTGGGATGGAATACATTACTATAGCTCTGATGGGCTGTAACTCTTTATCAAACTAATTGAACAAATAAAACTGGCATTGTTCTTTAGTTTTCAACGTTCACACTCAACATTTTCAATTTATGATGCAATTAACACTAAATTATGGTCATGTAGTGTTCCCAAATTCAAGAAATAAAACAAAAACAAGAAAACAAATGACATTCAAAAACGAAATCATAACAAAACATTTAAGGCAAGGGGAGTCATCAAGGCATTCTTTCAAAACCATAAATGAATTGCATAGCTAAGGCAGCACAGGCCTTACTACAGGTTAGTATGTACATTTAAACTGTATATTCCATGCCTCCTATTTACAAAAGACACCTAACCAGTACATATTTACACATTCATTCTCGTCAGCACGTGATGTCTGCTGCTCCAATATGTCAAACACTGGAGTGCCTTTTGGTCAGAGAAGTTTTTCAGTTTCAGTGACAATGACGCAAGTATGACAAATCTCAATGCTCTTTGTATTGTTCACAATTAATCTGATTAAAAGTATAAATTAAAAACATATGCTGCATTAAAATAATCAGATAAGAAAAAAAGTCATAAATAAATAATATTAACCTTGAATACCATGACTGTACAGAAATTAGTTAATAGTGAACCACAAAGTCAGTGGAACCTGTTGAGTATGTGTATATTATATGTGTACTATAATTAAAGTGTGTGTTTCCTATATCAAGACTACTAACAAGAAGAATCTAACTACCAAAGTGAACTGCAAAAGAAAATAGTTCATTTGACCATAGTATTAGTGTAGTTTTATTAAGATGAAGCTTCAAATACCTGGCACTTTACCATGCCCCATGATGAGGCACATGGCAGCAAATATGCTCTTCCTATCTCTGGATATCAACTGTGAGAGTGTATGTTGTTGGTAGGGGGGGGACGATTTGATTGGCAAAAACAACCCAATACAAACAATGTTCCAATGAAAATAAAAATCATTCCTTTGGTGATAAAAAATTTGGCTTGAGTGCTAAAAAAATGCAAAATAAACCCATACAGGGAAATGCTAGAGATGCACCTACTAATAGGTTGGTGACAATAACAATGTTTTTAGCTTGACCTGCTACTGAGAGCTAAAAAACAAAACAAAAAATTAAAAGTTTGGCTAAACTGCAACACTTTAGTTCAAAAAGTACAAAACAAAACCTGCAACTGGATGTTAAACTTAACCTGCCTTTAGGATGTTTAAGCAAAATGAAGGAAACCAAAACTAATCAAGACGGGATACCAGGGAGGTTACCCAGCCAGCAGCAAAGTGGCTTAGTGTTAGATGTTTTCTGTCTAAGATACTAAAGACAGTATAGAACTCTTTGCTTTCAATGACCAAATCAAAGTTTTTACAAAATCCAAAGCTCATTGGAACACACATACACTATATTGCCAAAAGTATTTGCTCACCCATCCAAATTATTGGAATCAGGTGTTCCAATCACTTCCATGGCCACAGGTGTATAAATTCAAGCACCTAGGCATGCAGACTGTTTTTACAAACATTTGTGAAAGAATGGGTCGCTCTCAGGAGCTCAGTGAATTCCAGCGTGGAACTGTGATAGGATGCCACCTGTGCAACAAATCCAGTCGTGAAATTTCCTCGCTCCTAAATATTCCACAGTCAACTGTCAGCTGTATTATAAGAAAATGGAAGTGTTTGGGAACGACAGCAACTCAGCCACGAAGTGGTAGGCCACGTAAACTGACGGAGCGGGGTCAGCGGATGCTGACGCGCATAGTGCGAAGAGGTCGCCAACTTTCTGCAGAGTCAATCACTACAGACCTCCAAACTTCATGTGGCCTTCAGATTAGCTCAAGAACAGTGCGCAGAGAGCTTCATGGAATGGGTTTCCATGGTCGAGCAGCTGCATCCAAGCCATACATCACCAAGTGCAATGCAAAGCGTCGGATGCGGTGGTGTAAAGCACGCCGCCACTGGACTCTAGAGCAGTGGAGACGCGTTCTCTGGAGTGACGAATCGCGCTTCTCCATCTGGCAATCTGATGGACGGGTCTGGGTTTGGCGGTTGCCAGGAGAACGGTACTTGTCTGACTTCATTGTGCCAAGTGTAAAGTTTGGTGGAGGGGGGATTATGGTGTGGGGTTGTTTTTCAGGAGCTGGGCTTGGCCCCTTAGTTCCAGTGAAAGGAACTCTGAATGCTTCAGCATACCAAGACATTTTGGACAATTCCATGCTCCCAACTTTGTGGGAACAGTTTGGAGCTGGCCCCTTCCTCTTCCAACATGACTGTGCACCAGTGCACAAAGCAAGGTCCATAAAGACATGGATGACAGAGTCTGGTGTGGATGAACTTGACTGGCCTGCACAGAGTCCTGACCTCAACCCGATAGAACACCTTTGGGATGAATTAGAGCGGAGACTGAGAGCCAGGCCTTCTCGTCCAACATCAGTGTGCGACCTCACAAATGCGCTTCTGGAAGAATGGTCAAAAATTCCCATAAACACACTCCTAAACCTTGTGGACAGCCTTCCCAGAAGAGTTGAAGCTGTTCTAGCTGCAAAGGGTGGACCGACGTCATATTGAACCCTATGGATTAGGAACGGGATGTCACTTAAGCTCATATGTGAGTCAAGGCAGGTGAGCAAATACTTTTGGCAATATAGTGTATCTTATTGGTGCATCTTTAGGAAAAGATGAATGAACATTTTCGTTAAATATGGAAAGACAACTATTTCTAGCCCAAGCTTAGCTTTGTTACTAAACGGTAGTTAAACAGTCTTCTGCAACAATCAGTTTTGTGCTATAGCTTCAGTGTCTAGGCTCCCCTGTGCAGGGTAGGAGCAGTCTTTGTTGCCTATGGATGAGGGGTGAGTTGGAGGATGGATCATTTCTGAGAAGTTCTTGCATGAAGCAGGGTTGGAACTCTTACGAGACATTGGTGGTGTGTTGCAGGGTGAAAGAGTTTTATTAGTGTGAATTTTTTTGTGTCTGACAGGTGTAGGGATTCGTGAGGTGGTCTTCTGCAGCCTATTGTCAGCTGGAGGCCTTGACTTTACACCTAGTTTGTGCTCAGAGATAAGGACTTCATGGCTTTGCCCGTTCTCCCCGTTAGTTATCTTTAATGATGGCGAAGGAGACCCCGAGCGGGATTCACTCAAACTGAAGGACATAGAGGAGTTTTCACTTGAAGAATCCTGGAAGGAGCAATCCTCAGAGGGGGCAAGGGGTACAGAGCCTCGACGACCCCCTGAAGGTGGCAGGTTGTCACTACTGTCATAATTTTCAAGGTCATAAAGTAGATTTGGCTGGTGATTTTCTAGGGGAAGATCATGCTCTGTCATGGAGCCCAAACCAAGAGCAGGAGGTTGACTTGAGAGCCCACCTGTTGGAAAACACCCATGTTCTCCATTCATATTTCTGCTATCCATTGCAGGCTGAGATGGGATGTGATTCATTAGCTCATCAGAACGAGTCATCCTAAGGTCAGGCAGACTAGAAGGAGCTTCCCTTTCCTTTACTGAGCTACCAATTGCTGGGAGCTTCTTGAGACCCCCTTTGTGCTCCGCCCAGTGTTCATGCTCTGCATGACTCAAACCACCTGGTTCTCCGACTGTTTGTCCATAAAGTATATTTAAAGGGTCCTCCGGTGGGAAATGCCGAGGGTTAGTCCTCTTGGATTCCTTGAGGTCAGGTAGAGTCCTGACCTTTAAACCCACATTAAGGGAAGAGGTGGAGGAGTTAGAGGAAGAGGAAGCAGAATCAGACACAGCAGGCTCAGTGAGTGCCTGTAGGCTTTCTCTTCCTACAACCTTACCAGTAAAATTCTCTCTAACCTGCTGGGTATTGGCCAGAAACTCAGCCTCAAAGCTGCGATAGAGGTCCTGTTCCTTCTGGGCGTCCAAAGGTGGCAGCATCTGGAAGCCTAACCCAAGCCCCTCCTCTAAGGCCTCCTGGGATTCCAGGTGAGAGACTTTTTTAGGCTGGCCTCGCATAGCAGATTGGGAAGCCTGTGAGAGCCGAGGGGGGCGGGCGGACTGGTTGTTAGAGTTATGAGGAGATGATTGTGGTGGACGACGCCCTCCAGAGGTGACAGGGGGTAGAAGTTTCCCTTTTCCTGTTGATGGGGGTGTTTGAGGTCTAAGAGCAGAAGCAGTTTTCTTAATGGGACTGTTGTTGCTTTGGAGTCCTTTAACAGGCGAGTTAGTGCAAGAGACGGATTGCTTCTTGCTGAGACCTACACCCCTTCTGGGAGAAGACTGGGCTACCTGTTTAGGGAGGTCATCCTGTCTTGCTACAGGTGGGGGCTGAGAGGTTCTAGAAGAGGAACTATGTGCAGGGCTGCCTTCAGTCGACAAAGAGCTGCAGGTTAACTTACTCTGGCTATGAGAACGAGGAACATGGAGCCTTCTCTGGCCTTCATTTCCACAAGAGCGCCCTCTGTCTGTGCGAGACGCCCGTGTACCATCTGAGGACCCCATTGGTGGGTTGGGTTTTAGTGTTGGTGGAAGTGAAGAACGCTCCCGTGACTGGCTGCGTGCACGGGGCGTTGATGAACGTTTGGCCGGGGTTTCATTTCCTGCGCCTGCCCTCTCAATCATATGCTTCCCTTCCTTACGGTTAACAAGCAGTACCACCTGTTCACCGGAGCACCGTGAAGGTCCACCAAGTGACTGCCGCCCTCCTCCTCCTCCTTTGGAGGAGGCAGTAGAAGAATCACTGTCTCCTGAGAGACGTCTTGTCATAGTTTCTTTATTCCTGCATGTAAAGCAGAGACAGAGTTTTAAAATAATGTTGATGCAGTGCCTAACAAAGAAGAGCTGTCCAAAGATGTCCAAATGTTAGGATACATTTTCATAACCTAATATTGTTTTAAACTTTTGCTGAGCTTCATTCACGCTGACCTGCCTGGTCTTTTGTTTTGTTTTTGTCTACATGATTCTGTTTTTTTTTAAACAAACTGCTGGGATTTAATCACAGTCATTGACATAATTTACTAATTATTATAATTCTACTGCCATTTGTTTGTACGACATATTATTAAGGAATATTAGAGACTGAAAACAAGTGTCAAACATTTTTTATAAAATAAATACTGCATGGACATTTTTTCCAGTTACAAAATATGGTTCAGTTTGTCTTGTTAAATAACATGAAACCCATAATAATTACGGTACTCTAAAATTTTACATCAAACGTTCATCAACACTTTTCATTAGACTGCTTTAAATATCTCGTATTCCTACTCGTATGTATGATCTAACATGAACTTAGGGGCACTAAATTAAAACAGTGGATTTGACCTTAGACTCATGCACATCTTGGAACAGACTAGTGACAGCAAGGGGGGATTACAGAGAAGATGAGAGCAACTGGGGGCAGGATTAAAGGTCTTGAAGATCTTCAAGCATAACAGATACTGCTAAGCTTTTCACAAACAGAAACCATTTTGCTGTCAGGCACCTAGAGCATTGGTTCCCAATCCTGCTCCTAAAGTATCACTGTTGTATATTTTTTAGGTGTGGACTTGCTTCCACACACCTGACTTATTTTAATGAGTGATTAACAGGCTTCTGCAGCACATGATAGCTGCAGAGCATCTAATGAAATCATTAGAATCAGGAGTACACAGATCTACATAAAACTTGCAGGGCAGGGGTACTTGAAGACAGGGTTGGGGAGAAAAGGATTGTTGGAATTTCCAACTGTGCATCCATTAACATGTATTAAGATAGAAAAAAAAATAAGTCACATTCTGAAACAATTCTAAAAGATTATAAAGCTTTCTTGTTAGTTTTAGACAGAAATTACCACATTAGAACGGGCTTGGGGTCTAAGTCGAGGCATTTTAAAATGAATGTTATCAGAGGTTCAGACTAAACTTAATTTCCAATACCTAACAAGCTACAGTGATTAATCCAAAATGTTCTTGTGATGATGTAAAAATAGAGATTGACCAACATTAGCCGGATGATATTTTCAGCGTATTTTAGCATTTTTTATTGAGTGTTACATGCATGCTTTCACCGATTGGTTAGTGCATTCAGCAGCCTTGATATCATGTGAAGAGCAAGGATTGCCACTGCCTACATCTGTTATTCAATGCTAATGTTTTGTTTGATTTGTTAATAAATGTTTCTTTATTGTTTAAATAGAGACTTACTTAAAATCTTTGAATGTCAGGTCATATAGTTTGTGTAAATGGGGAATAAAAAAAGAATAGGGGATTCAAAAACTGAATAAATCAGCAGAACATATCAGGGATCGGTTAAACTGAAGTCAAAATAATCAATATCAGCACAGGCCTTAAAAAAATCATCTGTATCGGTCGAGCCTTATAGTGCCTTATAGAAATATTTTCAGAGGTTTGCATGATCAGCTGAATTACTCTGCATTCACAAAATAAAATTGGAATACACATTATCACATTTAATTTCATCTATAAGAGTGGATGGATTTAAATCTTTGTCTTTTTAAGTACTTTGAGTTGACATTTCTTGTAAGTCTGTGCAACATCATATACATGTACTATTCAAGTATGCTACTTAAAGGGCCGGTATGAAAGTAAACCAAAACTAAACTGGAAAATTTATTTTAATGCTAACCTTTATTCTTGCGTTAATTATGTGACTGTTTGGAGAATATACAATATAAAATTGACTAGATGACCAGCTATATTCTGGACCAGTGGCCTCCAAGTTCAGGCCTCAAGTTCCACTACCCTTGAATATTTAAGTATGTCCCTGCTCTAAAACAGCAGTTTTAAATGAATTTATTATTCCATCAGCTTGCCTATCAGGTTTGGTAAAGGCCTTTTAATAAGCCACTCATCTGATTCTGGTTTGCTGCTGCAGGGATGTGGCAAAAATTTGTAGAGTAGTTGAACCCTGGGCCTGGAGTTGGAGACACTGGTTTCTGAAATAGTTTCCGTACTTTAGACTTGCCTTAAAACGAATTTACAAATATATTAATGGCTCTCTTTATTCTATTTGGTCCTTTACTATCTTGTATTATAGAACAGGTATAAAGGGAATCTCCCTCATTTATAGACTAGATTTAAACCATTTGTTACAGTAACAGGCATATACTACTGAATAAAGCAGTTTCAGTCTGCTAACTGTCTGCAACTTAGGTTTTACTGGGGAGAAAAAAGCCCAATTGTTTGGGAGGTCTTTTCATATTTTTTTAACACTCTTATGAGAACTAGGCATAGTAATCTTAACTTTACGACCACTATTTTGATAAGAGCAATTGCATCTAAGAGGACTTGTATGCTGTTTCTATCTAACAAGAAGGAATGACAAATTCACAGTTCTGTTAAAAAATATCAAATATGCAGAGGTGGGTAGTAACTAGTCACATTTAATCAGTTATATTTATTTAAGTAAGATCTTGTACAAAATGCTCCTTTACGAGTAGTTTCACTACACTGCACTTTTCCCCTTTAATTGTGTAATACTATAAGAAAGTATAGTGAGTTACTCTAACTTCAGTAACTGGCTGCTCTACCCACTGCGAGGAACTTTAGGGAATAAAGAACACCCGTGTTTTCACCAAAAATACACTGCAGAGACACACCCACAGTTTATGTACAAGCAAGACTTCTTGTTTGGACACAAGCTTTGTTGTTTTACTGTTATTCTCTGTGTGCTTAGCTTAATGAGCCATTGGGGAGGTTTAGTGAACATACAGGAAACTGTTTATATTCTTACTCGAAGTACTTTGCATTCTTCTATCATTCAATATATTACCAAAAGTAATGATTCACACTATAAAATCAATGGATTTGGGTGTTGCAATCACTTCTCACTATAAATGGATAAGTCTGATGTAGGGAGACTTGACTAGTGGGCACAAAGTCCTGACATGGAACCTTATTGATCGGTATTAGATTGCATGAAACTTCAAATGTTACTATTAGACTCCATATGATATTTATATGAGCGAAAGAGAAGGGATAAAAGAAGGGATGAGTTATTTATAAAGTTATTTGTCTTCTACCCACTAGGGGGTGCTACAGGGTGTTGTAGAGGCAGATTCATCAAGGCAATGTCACCTGAGATTAGATAAATCTACTCTGGTCTAATCTGTGGTTTCCTGGCATGTTTATGCACTCTGCATAAGTACCACACTGTGTATCTATCTGTCAATCTGTGTACACCACACTGAGGGTGCCCAGCCAGTACTCTTGGAAGAACTTGTATCACCTGTACAGAGGTGAAGACACTCACCTGAGAGGATTAAAGTGTCGCGGTTCTGAGCGATCTCTTGGCAGCTTAGGGAGCAGAGATCGAGGTCCAGCAGTGTCCACCTCTGTACGGACAGAGGAGTTTTGGGATCTACCAGCGCGTGTGGATGAAGAAGATGAGGAGGAGGCGGCGCTCTGAGCAGGCTCCAAGGAGCGCCTGTCAGTGGGTTTATAAGTAGAAATGCCCTCATTCCTCCAGTGTGGCCCAGGGCTGGTGGAGCGGGATGAGTGAGCGCTAGACGACTTGCTCTGGGCTCCCTGACATTGGCCACTTGCTTTAGCCTGGTGGTAGCGGTGAGCTGGGTGGGAAGACACATTAAATGTATTTAACCAATGGTGGTAGAGAGCTTGTACAATTAAGACTGTGGTCAAGAAAAAAAACACATTACATTAAGATCTGAACAGCAGTTGATGAAATAAAATGGTTGCTTGACTCAGAGATGAGCTCTTTATATATACTAGTGAGTCAAAGCAGTTCAGCAAGTTTAACAAGAAAGTCCCAATACAAGACAAACTTCCCGTCACTTCATGTGATTAGAAGTTTAACGGCCAGAATTACCTATAAAGAAACAGCAGTTTGGTTTAAGGTGGCAGGTCTCAGCTTGCACTGTTACATTGGTTCTTAACTTTTATTAAATATGAGAAGTAAGACCCAAGATTTGCATTTCTGCATGAAATGTGAGAACAACTTAACCCCTAGAACCCGACGGACCCACCGGTGGGTCCAGCTGCCACGTGACCTCGTAATTTTAACAAACCCCCAGTATTGATGTAAAAAACACATTTGGCACAGAATATGATTCATCTGATTGAGTCCAAATTTGGTATATTTTTACACAACATTTAGATTTAAAAGTCTGTACTACTTTTTGTGCTATAAATAATATTTTGGTAGTGTTTTGCAATGTTTATTTCAAAGAAAATTTTGGCGAGGTTCAAAAAATGCAAAATATTTTGTATTTTGTCCCTAATATTTCAGGCAGGGTCAAAGCTACAATGGTGCTGAGACCAGAAAACCATTCTATGACATCTTACCTTTACAGAGGTACCAAAAGTTTCTTCTTAAATCTAATAGCTGTGAGGCTATAAGTGATTTACTTTTGTGTGTTTTTGTCAGGCAGAAGTTTATTTATACCCCCTGAGGGTGTAAGAGGTTAAGAAGGTAAGGAAAATCTGTATTTATTAAGCCCCAAATGACTTACAAGTTTTGTTTGCGTTCCTGCTTACATTCACTGAGTCCTCTTACCCTATTTGCGTCTTACAAATTTAGCCCCTTTTCATAGAAGTATTTCCACTGTATTATAATGCAGACTCTTACATTGACATTATTTTTTCTTTCTAAATGACATTTTCAGTCTGGCCTCGTCTTTCTACCCTAATTATGTTGTTTACAGTTATCTTAATTAGTTGATGAGATGCTTTATTATCTGCATCCTGTTGCATTACAAAACATTTCCAGCCCCTTCCAAACATTTTGGAATGTTCGCTTGGTAAACATTTGCAAGAAGTCTGGAAATTAATAATCTTTTACTGCAGAAAAATAATCTCAACTTAAAAGAATAGAAAAAAAAAATCTAAGTACAATATTTTATAAGAAAGTGAATGGTGTTAAAAAATACTTAAAAAAAAAAAAACGTTGGTGGCAAAATAATTTATTTACGTACCAATCCCCCCAAACAAAAACAACACAAATTAAACGAATAAGATTTGAACAAATCAGCTTATTTGTAGGCCATCAAGATTTGCAGGAACCCTGCTAGCTATACATTTAACTGAGGTGTGGTGAACTAGGGAAACATGCAGGTCGTTGTCCTTTAACCCTTTAAAGCCCGATCCAAGAATAGAACAAAACAGAAAATTACTTTTTTTTGGTTTGAAGTCCTTATTTGGCCTTTTAACAAAATATGTAAAAAGAAAAAACAGAAATACATTTTTGATATTAATAATTTATTACTATGCGATAAGTCAAGATTGTTTTTTGTGTAGTCTTCTGCCCTCTGTTATCAGGTATATATGATTGTGTACAATAGGATTTTGAGCAAAGTTTTTACCATTAATTTATGCAAAAGGTGTCAGACGCAAAACATTTCAGAAACCGTATCTATCAAATACGATACATTTGGCATTACAGGGTTAAGGAATGCCTTCAGACATGGCCACTATTTACCTTCTAGACTCCTGGGTTATCTCTTCTACTCTCTTCTCCAGCTCAGCCAAAATGCTTTATATACGATTTAAGTCTGAGTACTGATGAAGCATAATTAACTTTTTATCTGGTGTTTCTGCTATACTGGTTTGTGAATGAAAGGGTTTGCATGTCTCATTGTGTATTATGTTTTTTTTTTTTTTCTTCCACACCAACATGTGTTTTTTAATCATTAAGTTTTTTTAGTCAGGGTTCTGCTCTCCAGATTCGACACACTAAAACAGAGAGATCCGTTTATTTTATCTAACCTCTCTGCCTTTTACAGTTAGGCCTATAGTCTCATGACTTTTATAAATTATGCAACACATAAACAATAAAACAATTTTTTAAAGCCCTTATGGAGGGCAGGAAGTGATCTCACCGAATGCAGCACAGCGACATGGATCATGCTTGTCCAAATAGTGCTCCAATGTGTCCCAGCCCCCTCCGACCCGCACCATCACATGAGTCCGAAGGACCTGAAGGAGGGGAAGAGAAAACAAGGCTTTAATAAATTAAATCATTGTAACAGATGATGCACATTTATACACAAATACACACATATAAAGTTTACAAGTAGGGCTGTTGAAAGCAGGTTGAACCTCAATATTACATTACATCTACATTTATCCGTTCCTCTTACTGCCATAGCACACCTTCTCATCTTTACATGCTATATCACCCCAGCTGCTGTCCTAAAGACGGTTGATCATCACTACGCCGAGTGATTGAGAAATAAATTAAGGTAGCATAATGAAAAGCCACATATTCTTCCTTTGGGATTTCTGCTTTGCTCCTCAGTTTCTCTTCCTGTGTTTTCACATTGCAGCCGGATGCATTAGAAAGGTATTCTGCAACTCCTGCTTTTATGGATTTCATTTTGTAGGAGCACATAGGAAAAAAAAGGTCGGGTAGGGTGGCTCAATATGAATAAACAGAGCTGTTGTTGGGGGATATGTCACTTTCTGCTCCTCCATGCTCTTCTTAGCACACGCCCACAAGATCTGGCCAAGAAGCCCCTCTCCCGCTGGGCAGAGACCGCCTTCATTGAAACTGCACATTTTCCTTGATGTGACAGCTCTGTGAATGCACCCCTTGCGTTGTGTAACACAGTGTGTGAGCCACATGTTTCAAAGGCTGCTCTTCTTCTGAATGCGAGGGCATTTAAGGCGACCCGTATTGTAAAAGATGAGTGAGCCCAGGGTTGATTTAATTCACATTCATACACGGGGCTCTGCATCTTAACATGTAAAGAGGATACAGAAAACAGATGAACCTTGCTTTGTGACCCCCGCCTCTTCTCCAGTGCCATCCAAGAGAGGCTGCTGCGACTTTGTTTCATCTGACTTTGTGCCCTTCTGCATTAAATCTGTCAAAACAGCTCATCTGCTTATCTCTATCAAACTGCGGGCTATAAACTGCTTACTCGCCACTGCTTTGACCCAACGCCAGTAACAGGTTTACTGTCTGCGTGATGCAGCGAACAACCGTGAGCCAGCAATGCAAAGCCAGTAACACGTGTCTAGTAACAGTGTATCATGCCTTAGACAGACTGTCATTTTGTACACACAGAGTGTATACAAAATGAGATTTCATTCTGTACAGCTCTCAAGACATTTACATTTCTAAAGTGCAGCAGCAATAAAATGTAAACATGGTGATCAAATGTAAACATAAGACTGGTATATGATTTACAGTTTTTCCAACATTCAGGGCTTTTTTTTTTTTTAACCCCATTTTATTCAACATTCAGCAGGTTAATGGCGGTGGGGAAGAAGCTGTTTTGGAATCTGCCAAACCTGCATCAGATGCTTTGAAGCTTCTTCCCAGAGGGCAGCAGGGAGAACAGTCCATGGTGGGGGTGTGAGGGGTCATTTATAATGTTACGGAATCATGTCACACAGCGCTGGGATGAAATGTCTTTTAATGGAGGGAAGAGGAGCCCTGATGATCTTCTCTGCAGTTCTCATTTTTATCATATTTTAAACATCTCTGCTGACAGACCTTGACAAAAGATTTCCAGAAACTAATCTGTGTTTTCTTAATCCTTCTTAATGCATGTTTATTTAATCTTTGAACACTTCTATCTAACTTGTTTGTTGCTGCTGTATCACAGTGGAGTAGCTGTGATGATGGTGCCAGCAGCAGAAAATACCAACTATAGAAGAGACTTTTTTTTTGCTTTAATTTCACAAGGCTAAAGAAAAAGAAATCCCCGTGCTATGGATGGATTTCATATTAACATAAAAACATTACATTTTAAATAAACAAAACATCTTTATGCACCTTGAAACGTTCTTCAATTTATGTCTCAAACACAAATTCCATATTATTCATTAGGATTCTGTGTAATAAGGCAGTTATATGAGTCTATACAAACAAAGTAAAATGATGCCTTTCTTTTGTTTGCTTTTAAACAATAAGACAATATTGAGCGTACAGATGCCTTAAAAGTATAGTAGAGGATTTTCACGATTTTCACGCAAGACCTGCCCTCTCCACTTTAAATAAAAAATGCACATGCACAACCCTGTACCTGCTCCCGAGAGGAAATACCTACTGTATTAAACGCGTGCAAGGGGAATGCACGAGCCCATTTCTCCTCATGCATGCTCTGTTTAAAAGTTGCTGTTTGCATCGCTCACACAAGCTTACTCCAAAAGAAGATTTGCAATTTTTCCACTATGTCAGATTTATCACTCATTAGTGAAAATTGGGATAAGCAAGTAGGATGGCCTTACGTAAACATATCACCACAATGATTGACAATTAGGGGAACCGCTTATTTTGATGATCCACCCTATAAAAGAACATCCTCCACTATACCTTTAATAAAATCCAGTCCAGCCAATTGCTTTCCGAAATCAACTAATTAAAATTGATTTTATTATGTTGTTTTTATGTTTTTTTATATGTCTTATTGTAATGCTGCCTCTTGGCCAGGTCTCCCTCGAAAAAGAGATTTTATCTCAAGGGACTTCCTGGTAAAATAAAGGTTAAATAAAATAAATAAAAAAAGAAAACATCATAAAGACCAAGTAACCAGGAAGACAGGTTGGCTAGAACATGATGGAGAAGTTTGAAACGAGGTTAGGTTATCAAACGTTTTAAATCTCATGGAGACTGTGCAATAATCCACCACCTGGAAATAAGAAGAGTAGGATACTACACAGGACAAGTCCATTAACCTAAACTGGTATAGGGAAGGGTTGCATCATTCAGAAGGGTAGAAAGACAGCCACTGTTACCGTGGAGGAGCTGCAGAGATTTATAGCTCAGGTAAAAAGTTCTGTCATAACTATCAATCATAAGATCCACAAATCTCTAAGTGGAGGAGTGTTAAAAAAAACAAAACAATTGATGATGTCGGTGAGGCAGACACACTGTCTACTTTTAAGGCTAGACTTAAAACTTTCCTTTTTGATAAAGCTTATAGTTAGGGTGGCTCAAGTTATCCTGAGCTATCTCTATAGTTATGCTGCTATAGGCTTAGACTGCTGGAGGACATAGGGACCCCCATTTCATCATTCTGCTTCATTCTGTCTCTGTTCTCCTATTCTGCAGAATCTGTTAGTTCAATCTCTATCCTTCTGCTCTCTATGCTTTTCCTCAGAGTAGCTTTGCCTCGTCTGTTCCTGTTTGGCTGTGACGTCATCCTGGAAAGAAACATCAGCTGTGCTGCTTCCATCAACACCCTTGTTTATAGATGTTGGAGATCGGCCTGTTTTCAGGTGGTCCTGTTTCTCTGACCGTGACTGAGTGGATGTGCTCTCTTCGTCCTCTGGCATGGGAGCTGCCTTGGAGCTCGTCTGCCTGGCTCTGTGTTTCGTGGATGGGGCCGCCTTTTACAGCTGCTTTTTGTATCTCTGCTTCTGTCTCCTTGAACCCCAGTCGGCCTCGGCAGATGGCCGCTCACACTGAGCCTGGTTCTGCTGGAGGTTTCTTCCTGTTAAAAGGGAGTTTTTCCTCTCCACTGTCGCTACAAGCATGCTTAGTGTGAGAGATTGTATTTGAGTCAATGAGTCAATGCAATCAACTGGTTTTCCTTAGATAGAAAACTTTGTATCAATTTGACTGTATGATCTGGTTGAACTGTAAAGTGCCTTGAGATGACATGTGTTGTGAATTTGGCGCTATATAAATAAACTGAATTGAATTGAATTGAATTGAAACAAAAGGGAATGGGGTGCTTTAAACACAAGAGAACAAAATAGCACTTTGAATGTTTATGATGGAAAAGTAACACAGAGCACTACACTGAGCCCACCACAAACACTAACATGGAGGAGGCAGGGTCATGCTGTGGTGATGCTGGTCTTCAGCTGGGAAAGGGAAGCTGTTCAGAGTTGATGGGGGGCTTAAACTAAACACAGATGAAAACCTGGATAAAAAAAACCTTTAGAAGCTTCGTAAGACTTGAGGCAGGGTTTAAGCTTAACCTTCCAGGATCATAGCTATTTAAAACATATATATATATATATATATATATATATATATATATATATATATATATATATATATATGTGTGTGTGTGTGTGTGTGTGTGTAGAGAGAGAGAGAGAGAGCTGCAATGAATCTATTTATATTTTAGCTTTGTCAATGTCTTTATCCTTGGTCCTGAATGTGTGTGTAATGCAGAAGTCCCAGAGCTGGCAAACGATGTACAGCTCTGACTACAGGGAGAGTTTATTAAACAAAAACATTCAGGAACACACAATGCAAACATAACTAAGAACTTTAATCTCTGTTTGTATAGCAATGTGCAAACCACAGATCTATTTACTTTGTGCTAGTCCATCAAACACAATCCCAACATAATTCTTGGGAGGTTGTGGGTGAGACGTGACAAATTGTGAGCAACTTTATGATTTAAGGATAGTTTTACTGTATAAGGCATTGTGAGTATAACTGATGATAAATAGCAGCAGTTTCAGACAGTGACTTACTGAGGCAAGCAAAAATAAATCATTGGAATTTTTCTTCTCTTATAACTACTTTCTCTCTTTGTTTATTCAATATACATTAGCAGCACTGAGAGGTTCCTCACTGCATGTTAAGGAACCATGTTCCACTTTGAAACTGAGGCTAAGCTGCCTGGTTGAGACAACTGAGGGGGGGTTCACAGAGGTTTTAAGACCACAGAGACACGATCCGTGTTTCTATGGGAACAGCGAACATAGAGACTTCTTGTCATCATTGCTGAGGCGTGTTCAACCATTGTCCTGATATTAAACTTGAGGTTCATTTCAGCTATTGTTCCCAGTGAGCAAACTTCTCTTCCCACTGAGAAATAGCCCACACCCAGAGGACAAAAACATCCCATTACCAACAACCCCACCATTCATAGGGTGCTGTTTGCTTTAATGACCTCATCCCATTTCAGTGTGAGATCCTTGTCACTGCTTTAGTAGATGACTAGGAGGTTGTAGGCTTTTATGCCCTTATACCTCCTAGGAGATAAATAAAGGAAGTGTGTAGTATGCACTTGTAACTGCTTAGGCAAGTGCATAATCACCGTCATCCCTAGCGATGAATCAGCAGAGGGAGGAAGCAAGGGAGTCTGAGAAATAAAAGGCTTCCAGGCATGCAAACAATCACAAACCCCTACAGTGTCTCAAATATCACAACCTGAAATGACTCCTAAAGAGGCAATCGGCAAACAAACATTTTGCAAAGCAATTTAACACAAATCATAAGGGATATGTAGATGTCAGGAAATATGAGCAGGAATAGCATTTTCCTCTTAAATGAAAAACATACAGTTCTGTTTTTAAATACTCACAAATGATGAAATTACTTTGCTACGAGGGCAAGGAAAATGTGCAAAGATTAAACTATGTTGTCTCCTCAAAACAAATTATTCAAACTAGATCTCTTAGGAAAAAAACGAAAAAGAAAAGTAGACTATTTATATAACTGTACCCCAAGTACTGGAAAAACAAAAGATTGGGCTTATTCTATTATTTTATTAATTTTACTCAATTTTTTTCCGGAAAAGAGGATAATACCACAGACTACGTTACCTTTCTTAAGCATAATATACTTTGATTCTGGTTCTTTAACCAGTTTTGACTTATTATAAGTGTGAGGTTGAAAGTATATTTCATCTTTTTTTTTTTCAAGTTTTACTATTTAATTAATTTTTTTCTGCCCTTGACAGGTCGCTTTGGGGGGGGAAAAAGATTTTGATCTTCAATATGGCTTTACCTGTTTATATAAAGACCATGATTTTCCATACTTTCTGTTGTTTTTTCTTTTTTTTTATTACTTTACTTTCTTTTTTTAATGAGACCAACATTAACAGAAACTAAACACTACGGATGATTCTGTTTATGACTACCATAAATGTTTTAATACACTCAGTCTTTCAATTCTCAGTGTCTTTGTCATCTAGTCTATAATTTCTTATGTTTGGGGGCTCTGAAGTGTTAACATATGCCTCATTTTTCATATTATATACACTGTCAAAACAACTGGAGTTGGAGTTGGATTCAATCTGTCTGATTTCTCGTCCTTTTGAGGGTTTTCTTAGGAACTACTGTCAGAAATAAGTCCAGATATCTATCAATGTACTAAATTATTTCTCAAAAAATTTACCAAGATAAAAGCAGAGATGTTCAAAGGTGTATTATGTCTAAAGAATATTCTTAGGAAAAAAATAATTGCAGTGCTCTATTTATTGAGTCTACTGTTAAGCCAAAAATTATTTATACATCGGTCAGACTTAAATTTAAATCTTTTAAGTTTTATCCATTTGTTTCTTCTGCCTGGAAGTAATATTAGTGTTTTTGAGTGTGCCATGAAGTTAAATATAATTGTGATTGGGTAGAGGAGGCCTTCCGACCTTAAGGATTTAGAGCTCAACACCAAAAAATTACCTAAAAAAAAAACAAACTAAGGAGACACATAAAAAGCTGCTCAGCAACTACCAGAAGGGTTAAATTGCTTTAATACCAATAGAAATTTAACAGTGCTACCAAGTGCACCACTTTACAGCTTATAAAAGATCAGTAGTGACCATTGATGTCAAAGTTTGTAGCATTTAGCAACATTTCAAACTACGCAAGAAGTGCTGCATTTCACTAGCATAGGGAGTTTGCCCAAATGAGATCTGAGTTGCTGGTAGAGACTTCTATTTCTTTATCAAGTCAAAGCCTAAAACTGAATCCACCGTGTATACTTTAACTACTATTATACAGTAGCATACTGTAAATCAAACAATAGAGTGTATAAAATAAAATGCAACACACCTACATATATCTGCAGGCAAAGACCAATTGGTGCGACTGGAAGTGACAAATACTATTAGTAGCTGCAGTCAGAAAGTCTGATGGTGTAAACTAAATACAGGGAAAGTGGAAAACCATCCAAAGAGTCCATTAATCGTGCTGTGATAGATCTGAGGCACGAGAGACCAAATCGATCTCCACCGAACCGACCTTCCTGTAATATCCCCAAAGGCCTGGTAAGGGCACATATCGACGCCCAAACTGGAAAGGGGAGACGAAAACAGTGCAGGCAGGAATCCAGCTACAGCCAAGATAAGGAGAACACAGGAAATGACTTAAAACTCTATTTGCGTCTGTAGAGAAAATATTTCTTCCTGGGTGTGGGCCAGAGAAACGCAGCTTGGAAAAAATCACATAAGAAGAAGAAATCACAGTGTTTTTACATGAAAGCTTATGGCACGCTTTAAAGTGCTGTGATTCAGTCAAACCACTGAGTGTTGTTGCCTCATAACCCATGAAACAACACATGATGCCATATGCTGACAACATATGGTTCCACTCAATTACTGCACCTCTTTGGTGCCAAATATAGTAGCAGAATAACTGGAACTAAAAACACTCATTTATAGCCTCTGCTTTAGCTTTTAACGTTTCATTTTGGTTCGGTCAGTTACCTCAACTTTAGTTCAACAGAGAACCAGGGAAGAAAATGTTTGAGCTTATTAGTTTTAAGATGAAACTTGAAAATAATCCACCTTTTTTTTCTAAACCATAAACCTTCATACACATTAAATGACTTTTTTAGAAAACAAAACTATCATTAACTGATAACTTTCATATCAAATGAGCTACTTCTACCTCTCATTCCCTTTCCAGCAATACTGCAGGATAGAGAGAGGTCGCTTGAGGTTTCCCAAGTTTTTGCTGAAGTACATAATTCTCACAGATGCTCAGCTGCGGCTGTAAATAATCTGAGAACTTGAACAGCACAGAGCGTGTAGAGGCAGAGCTTGAAACAAAGACACCTTCAAAAGTGTCTGTGTTGCACAATGTTTCGTAGCCATTATTATGAAATGCTTTACAAATTGGAAGAGAACCCAAATAAAACAACGTGAGGCTATCAATTTGCTGCTAGAATTTTCAAAACCCAAAAATCATTTCTGAATAATAACAACATTCAAGTGACTGGATGCATCTGGGATTTACCAAAACATCACAAGACCTGCATAAAGCCAACTGACTGGGGATGTTATGTGTTCATTTGCCTGTAAAATACCAGATATGAACAGGGAGCATTAGTCTTTTTCTTTACTTTAATGTCGCCTTTTAATGGTACTTTTTTAAATATAAAAAAATGTTTAATTTAAAATAAATGCTATTTTTTACAACTACACCATCTGCAAATGTGGTTTAATCTTGATAACCTTCTTTGTAAGAATGGGATGAGGCAAAATCAGGAACATGTTTATATTGACCATGTTTTGCTTAAGACAATACAATTGGGGGAAATTGTCACCAGAACTTTGTCCAAAGGATAACTAGTTCAACCTGATCATAATCAGATGGTAGAAATACACTTTACTTGCTTAAAATAGCATATTTGCCTCAGTAAAATCATAGAAATTAAATAAAATTTAAAGCATTTATTTGCAGAGTTACATATCTAATGACAATAAGAACCTATCTATCAATTATTCAGCTTAAAGTTTAAAACTCTACTAAAAAAATACAATGATATTCAAAACATAAGGAAATGTAAAGCACAGCTAAAAAGTAAAAAAAAATGCAGCTTGTTAAACAATGAGAGAAAATTCCAAAAGATTAGACCTACCCTGATGAAGATCAGCGCACTGGAGTCTCCTACTTTATACTTCCCCTCGGACACTTTAATCATAGGAAACTGAGCTGGGCAGGAACACTGGCCAAGGATCTCACGTACCTGGTCAGAACAAAAAAACAACAACACATATTACTTAAACAATGAGAGTTCACAAATGTGACTAAACACATCACTAAAACATCTTCCTGTTCTTTGAGGAGATCATGATTGGTCATAATGATGTGTAACCGGGGATTAAAGCGCTGCTGGACAAGAAAGCTTCAGTAATAAAATGACTTTTTCACAGTGGGAGAAATGAACAATCATTTGACAGTCTGAGAGTTAGAGGATGTTTTAGTCATCTTCCTGCTAGGTTTCCTCCCAAACCACCTCCTCCTACCAAAAGTAGAAGTGTCCCTCACCTAAAATGATCAAACTATTTTCTAATTTTCAGCTTATATCTCATACCACATCTCCATTTTAATCATGAACCCTCTCTTTCCTAACAGTGAAATGACATGTGCAACATAAAGGACCGAAAGCTTAGAGCCCGTTGCTGCTGATGATGATGTAAGCAGGCCTGTGTTGCCAGCTGGGATCTGAATTGGGATTCAGAGCCGGCGCCCTTGCTGTGGTCGAAGGGGGTGCTTATTAGGCAAGCAGGAGTCAGACACAACTGCAGGGTGGAGTGAGATCAGCTCTCTACTGCACATGCCCAAGCTCTGTCTGGATTGGTCGGCCCTGATGTTTGTCTTGGCGTCTGTGTCAGACAAAGGCGTGTGCACACTTGTCAATGAGGAGATAGAGAAAGTGGAGCACCAAGAGAGCAGAAAGCACAGGAGGAGCGAATCAGTAAATGCTTCTTTACTGTGTGTGCAAGGACAACAAGACCAGGGTACAAGGAAAAAAATCAAATGACAGGTTAGGAGAAGATTGTTGGTTATAAGCTTTAAAGCTTTGAATGTTTAAAGCACCTTTCATGAGGTACATCAGGCTAAAGGGATATATTTTGCTTTTGGCGTGATGCACCGTGTTATTTTCTTAAAATGGCATCCTTCTTTTATCCAAGACTAATTAAAGAGGGGCGACTCTAAGCACTAAGCCTCTGAACCTCACCTCCAACTAAGTTCTCTGTTTCACCTGTTAAAGCTTCTGCTTACTTCTTCAGTCTTTCGTCTACTAAGAAAGGGTCAAATGGTTTCCTACTTCATTAAGCACATAGAACAAACTGCATAAATAACTGCATTTTAACTCCAGAAAACATTAAAGAAAAATTTATTCTCAATTGCTTTTCAAAGCAGGAGTAGAATTTTAAAGTAGCTATTTTTTTAATAAAAGGAGAAACAGGTGAGATCCATGACGGTGAATAAGTGAATAACATGGCATTCTCCTCAGCCTAAAGAAAATGATTATGTCATGATTAGTGGTGGAGGACTAAGGGCAACAGGCCATTCGTAGGTGCATGTTTAAAGGAGATGTACTTTTATGAAAACAATAACTCCAACACAGAGGTTAGGGGGACAGCAGCGGGATGTGAACAAGATGTCAGAGAATAAGACAGCGAATTGAGAGAAAACAGACATAAATACAACAAGGATTAACTGAAATCAGGTGAGTGCAAACTGACAGTTTCACGACAGCTTTATGATAACTTTCTTTAACCCAAGATTTTTTAAATGATAGCAGTCTTTATGTAAAGAACAGAAACCTGAGGAAAGGGGAAAACAGAGTTTATGCATTCAGTTTCACAGATAGCAGCAACAGCTGCTGTTAGTAAGCATAACATTTATCAGGTACAAAATATTTATTTTAAACACAGTTAGCATATTTTGTGAGACCTATCATTTCAAAAAAATTTGGTGATCGCAGAAAATAGGAAAATAGTGAAAAATATCTTCCCTTTCCTCCTAGAAGCTTATCCAATTATTAGTTAGCCTGGGTGTGATTTTTTTTTTTTTTTTTTATCTCTGCTAGTGCTAAATAAAAAAAAAAAAAACACTTAACTGCAACTGCGGTCTGATTGCATCCCAGTATTTTCACTACATTCCTACATTATTTTCACTATATTCCACTACATTTTCACCTACTGAGCAACAGAACTGACTTTAATGTTAAGGCTATATTAAGACCTCAGTGTTAAATCTATATGCAGCTCTGGTTAAGACATACCGGTAGACCTTTTGCCTGATTAGATCAAGGGGAAACATCTGGTCTAAAAGTAGACAAAGCTCAGATCTAAAACTAAACTGAAGCTTAAAACCTTTCATATAGCATTACTATTGTGTTATCAAGTTAAGGAAAAATCACAGTTTGAAAGGTAAACCTGAGAGAACAGTGGAAATATTTTTTCACATTGGGGTATCTGTGGCACTCATGCAAAATGGAAACACCCTGCATTTTAATCTAAAGTGCCAGAAAAAAAATCTAATGTGTAAAAAAGACACTGGACTGCATGTTATTCACCTTAACAAAGGAGGCATGGAAAAAATAAACCAATTTGTTTTTTTAAAGGCATTAGTGGTATTTTAGTGACCATAAAAAGATTACAGATAATAAACGAGACCCAAGTTTAGGGTTTTTTTCTACACCAAGGGCCGGATCTATCAAAGGTTTGCGTGTATTAAAACGTGAGCTATTTCACTGCGCACGCTAAAAAATGTACAAACTGATCTATCAACAGCGTGCTAAAAGCATTTGATCTTTAAAACGTGCTAAATAGCGCCTGTGATCCATTTAGTACTTTTTCTGCAATGAATATGCAATATGGGGCGTTTACACGCTAAAGTGCGTCTTGTGGGAGGAGAACATGTAAATATATTAATTTAGCACTCGCAAAGTGATTTATCAAACTTGAACGCAATTTTGCTAACGGTATCTGACTCTATATTTAACACGTTTCAAAAGAAGGTGCAAATGGTCTGTATGCGTAATTGCGCACACATGGCAGCGGTTATTGTCGCAAGAAGGAGACATGGAAATGAAGCAAGGAGACGCAGAGAACGCATTTTTTCACTCCGTGTGAATATTTTTGGAATGAACGAGGAAACGATCATCAAAACCTATCGTTTATCCAGCATTGCCATTTTGGGGCTGTTGGGGGAACTCCGAATGGATTTGGAGCCAGCCACAAGGAGGACCCACGCAATACCAGATATCACAAAACTCCTTGCAACGTTGCACTTTTTTGCATCTGGGTCATTCCAGCGTACGGTTGCAGCGTGAGCTGGGATCTCCTAATCTCGTTTTTTCAGAAGTGCTGTCCGACGGGGTCGGGGTTCTCCCCCTGCGCCTGTGGAGCAACGTGCCAAATGCTGCGGGGATCTCATCCACAGTCACAGGCCAATACAAAACACCTGTTTTTTTTTTTTTTGTTTTTTTTTACTGCAGCACATACCACCTTAGGGAATAAAGGTTGCCAATTTATAAATAAATAAATAAATATATATATATATATATACTTATTTATTTTTTTTGTTGGGGGTCACTGTAAGATTTAAATTTCTTAATGCACTAGTTTGTACAGACTACAAACTACTTTGCCGCAAACCACAAAACGCGCAAAACCATCATTTAAATAGGGCGTCTCCAACAGTTTTGCACCTGCCACCAGTTACGCAATCGCTCTTGTTAAATCACCCGCAAACCATGGTTCAGCCCCTCGCGCAAAATTCCACTTTGCGAGCGCAAATTACTGCACGCAAAATTGGATCTTGATAAATCCGGCCCCAAGTGTTAGTTCAAACTTTAAAAACAAAGCTATACTTGTTAAACTGGTCTTGAAGTAAACAGATCTTAGTATAGAGGTATATGAGACAATTATACATTGCTTAGATGGATTTAATCAGTGAAAAGCAAAAGATTAAATTGGTATTTTAGATCAAAATAACACATAAAGGAAAACTAAATGCTTCAGGTCTGACAGGGTGGTGTGACAGGATTCCCTCGGAATAATGTTTCATCACTGACATTAATGCAATGTTTTAAAATCAACAGGACTAAAACACATGCTGTTTATACAGTGGGTAAAATAAGTATTGAACATGATACAGTTTTTGCTGACATCAACTTTTTATCAAGTGTTGGTAAAAACCCAAGTAATAAGCTCAGAAAATATGGAATGACACAGAAAAAAAGGATTGAACACATACAGAAAGGGAGGTAGAAAAAGACAGGAAAAGCCAAGACACCAGCTGAAAGCAATCACTGATGAAGAAGCCATCCTGTCTCTCATCAGTTCAAATGAAAATCAGCTGGTTAGGTCCAAACGAACGGTTGACTGCCTTAAAAGGTGTGGCATTAGCATTATTTCTAAAGTTCCAGTAAGCACTGCTTTGGTCATAATCAGGAAGTGGAACGACCATAGGTCAACCAGAAACCAGCCCAACCAGGTGCTCCCCACAAGATCACTTACAGTGGAGGGAAAATAGTTGTCCAAGAGCCAGAAAGACCTGAACTTAGCAGGAATGATCGTAAAAAAAAAAAGAGAAAAAAAACGAAAACAACATTCAATGCACTTAATGGCCATGGTCTGTATGCATACTCATCATGCAAGACAATTTCTGAAGAAAAAATATGTTGAAGCTTATTTAAGATTTGCTGCACAACACATGGGCAAAATCCTGGGAGAACAAAGTCTGATCAGATGAGAGCAATATTTAACTCTTTGAATGCCAGGACACCCACCCTGTTTGGAGGGGAAAAATTTACTAAGCATCACCCCAAAAATACAAAACAGACATGGAACTTTGAAGGTTGGAATATCATGGTCTGGGGCTGCGTTCCTGCATATGGAACTGGCAAACTTAATTGGAAAAAAAAATATGCAGCAAGAAATACTTGGAAAGAAATAAACACAGAGCTAAGGAAATACTCAACTGGCTTTAGACAAAGAAAATGAAGCTGCTAGGATGGCCTAGCCAGTCACCTGCCTTGATGCAATGAAAATCTATAGAAAGAGTTCAAAACAATCAGAGTTCAAAGAAGAGAAGAACTGAGATTTTAAGGCCAAAATCACAGCTAAGCAATGCAGGTGGCTATTTTCTTCATACAGGAGCCGCCTTGATGTCATCTTTACCATCAAAGGCTTTTGTACAAGGTAAATATCAATAGGCATGTTTTTA